TGGCTCAACGGGTAAGAACACTTTTTTCTGTTGTTACAAAGGACCAGGATTCAATTCTGGTCCCCATGTGGTGGCTTAAAAATCATCTGGTAACTAGTTCCAGGGAATCTGACACCCTAATTTAAGCTCCATGGACACCAGAGTGTTACACAGATATACATATAGGCAAACGTTTATACACACACACACGCACACACACACACACAAAGCCTAAAAAAAAAATACTCTTTTTATTGAACACTAATTGGTATAAACAATAAGTAATATGGGAAGTACATAGTAAATGTCATATGTTGTAAAACGATAACCAAATAAACTAATACTCTTACTACATACAGCAAACAACAAAAGCCAGAATTAACTGTCTTTAATTTCAAAGATTAGTTGAAAGCAGAAAACATATATAAATGCTTAAATAAAAATATTTGACCAAGTATACATTAAAATTCACCATACCAAAAGTCTTTCTCATATAGTTCAGATTCGGATGAACTATTACCTCACTACTGGGAGCTTCATGCTCAGGAACTGTATCTCGATGCTGTTTTAGAGAAACAGTAGTATTGACAGAAACAGATACATTTTTTGGTGAATGGAAGGCATTGATGAGATGACTGAGAGGAACTGTAACCTAGAAAAAAAAAAATAAAAGTTTAAATTAAGCAGTCTGGTTCTTTTTAATCTCTTTTTTTCTAGTCAGAATTTAGACCTATTAAACGTTAAAAATACACCAGATGTCAACATTATGGATAGGTTCGGATATAGCTCCATGCTAGCCCCCATCAGTGTAGATGATGGTCTCCCGCTGAGCTGCAGCACCATATACAAGCACATACACAGACAGCAGAGACTGGCATAGACACAAACACACATACACATGCAAAAAGAGCTGTCCATATTCATTTACTGTGACAGGAAGAAAATTGGTTTGTTCTTTCATGATACTACCTTTGATATGTTAGAAACCAGGCATGGCAGTAACACAATTTTTACCACAGCAATAGGGAGGAAGACAAGGCCGATCTCTGAATTCGATGCTAGCTTGGTCTACATAGAGTTCAAGGCCAGCTAAGAGACAACATACACACTGGCTCTGTCAAAAAAATTAATTTGAAATACATATACTTTCGTTCTCTAAAGTCTGCTTTCTAGGAGTTTATTCTATGGAAATAACTTGACAAATGATGCACACAAATAAGACAATTTTTTCCAATATAATTTTAAAAGAAAGGGAAAGCTGGAGAAAATGACTATTAGGGAAGTGGCAAAATAAAAGGCAATTCTGCAGAAGGCTTCACAAACATTAAAAGCAAAAGTTCACACCAAGAATTTTCTGATTTTTGAACTTTCCCATTGGCACCATCTTGTTCTAAATCCCACCATCTACTCCCTTGTTTCTGCCATTACACAGCTGTAGCACACTACCAGCAAGAGATAAAAGTAATAATAAAGTCTGCTAGCTCATGCTTCTGCTTAAAATCTAACACCTGCAGAACTTGAAAATCTCTACAGTTTGGTTTGTATATTACCTCACATTTCACCCATGCCCCTTCATTCCCTGTGTTAGAAATGGCCCAAAGAACACATGAAAACACTTTACTTAGTCTACCAGTCTATAAGAACATATGAAAGAAGTACATAGGGAAAACACTACAGAGTTATGATGTAAAATCCTTCTGCATAGGAATTCACCACGCAGCAGCTCACTCAATTACTGCCTCCAGTAGTGGGAATTACAGTATGATGAAATTATCTGGTCTGACTAGTCCCATTCTGGGACTATTTGCAGATTCAAGTTACCCTGTCAGGACAAACACAAATGTAATCCATAGAGCTTATGAAATCATAAGCTTCATAACTCAAGGAATTCTAAGAATATAACAGAAGCTTGGCACAAGGAAGAACACAAAAATTAAGTATTTCTTTTGTCGTAGCATATTATACAACTAAAGGATAAACTCCATATGGCAAGGATTTTTTTCTATTTTAGTATTCAATGTTGCATCCCCACACAAGTGTGAATACAAAGAATGCGAAATAGGCATTTTTGTTGAGTGAACAAAATAATGAGCTCTGATTATAAACCAAGTCTAATAATTTAATTCAATCCATGACATTAAAATTAGCCAGTGTTATACATCTTGCTGTGATTTGAAGGCTGAGTCCCTTTAAAATTCATGCTTAATTCAGTTTCCATTATAACAGCAGTAAGAGGTGGGAGGTGATTAACTAGGAAGGACCGCACAGCACCACAAGCCAACTGCTCCTTGCTACATAGGGTTGTACAAAACCCACAACAAGCAAGTATGGAAGCCGTGGAGCCCAGTCCTTCCGCCCCCAGAGTGGGTGTCCCCCTTGCTCTTCTGCTCCTTTACCATGGTAAGTTGTCTACCCGATGGCAGTATACTATATTCATCATGCTTTCTTCATATAAATCAATATTATATTCAACAGTCTCTATCAGCCATTTTTTTTTGGGGGGGGAGGAGTTTCAAGACAGGATTTCTCTGTATAACCCTGGCTGTCCTGGAACTCACTCTGTAGACCAGCTGGCCTTGAACTCAGAAATCCACCTGCCTGCCTCTGCCTCCCAAGTGCTGGGATTAAAGGCATGCACTACCACCAACAATCTATCAGACTTTTTTAATTACTAAAACTTCCCCAGACTCTGTCATCTTAGAAAACAGAATTTTCCTGTATCAAGCTGACCAACACAGAAACATCACTTTCCACCATCTCCCATACTTACACTGAGTGAAATTCCATTGCTTCTTTTCTACCTTCTGAGACCGATTGGCTGCCAATTCCTAATCCTCTTGTCCGGCCCGCCCCCACCCCCCACCCCCCACCAGGAAGTCTGGAATTAGAGATGCCACATTAGACATAACGATTTCTTTTCCATAATTACTGAATACCTTTTCTGTGTCAGGGCAACAGCATCCTTAAATCTAGTACACTTACACTTTTGCCCTCTCATATTCTCCACACAAGAAGCCAGAGCAAGCCTCCAAATGAAAACCTAGTCACAGAAATCAAATGAATCGAACTCCCTAGCTGCCTCAGACTTCTCTGACACTGCTCCATTTAATCACTCTGCTCTTGCCACACTGGCCTGACTTCTGTTCCTCACAGGAATTTTTATTTATATTTTTCTGTCTACCTGAAATTCCTGATTATTGTTCATCTTTATGACTAGGAGGAATCCACGTATGCTTTGTTCTCTTGCTGCCTAAGAAGTAGCTAAGCAATTTCATTCTCCATTAGTCCACCAATACCATAGGAACACAAAAAGGGCAAGTAGAAGAATTAAAGAACACTGGGGGAGGGGGGGTTCTTTTGAGACAAGTTATCACTACGTAACATCTCTAGATTCTGCCTGCCAAGGAATAATCATATTCTCAAGACAAGAAGTTGACAGTGCATCTGGTGTGATAGTGATGGGAGCCATGATCCCAACACTTCGGAGGCCAGCCTGGACATAGGGAGAGCCAGGACAGCAAAGAGAGAGTGAAATCTTGCCTCAAAAAATAAAATATAATTAATTAAACAGTGTTATCACCCTCCCTCCCCCCCAAAAAAACAACAAATTTTAATGAAACAAGGAAAAAAATAACACAATTTGGGTCTTGATAAAAAAAAAATTTAATCAATTTTTGAAATTTAATAGGCCGGGCAGTGGTGGCGAACGCCTTTAATCCCAGCGCTGGGGAGGCAGAGGCAGGCGGGTTTCTGAGTTCGAGGTCAGCCTGGGCTACAGAGTGAGTTCCAGGATATTCAGGGCTATAAAGAGAAACCCTGTCTCGAAAGAAAAAAAAAAACCAGTAAGAATCTAGTGATTCAAAACTTTACACAAATTAATTTTGGCCAGAAAGAAAGAAATTGCGATGCTATTCAAATTATTAGAATATGTTTGAACCAGATTCGGCTTGAAAGGAAAAATGGGGGCTCAGAAAAAGGTTGATGTCTTCTTTACCTCTCTGCAGACTTTACAAATTCCCATCTCAGACTGTCCAACACTAAACAGTGCCTGAATTCTCAACAGAAATTCTGTGCAAGCCATTGGATAAGCTATGAGACGTCCACCACGGTTACTGTCAGGTCATACTCTCAGCACTGTCACCTGATCTACTACTCAGTCCGCGACTCACCCTGGGTTCGTTGCTTCCCTCACTAATTTGCTTCAGAAACACCGATTCTACTACAGCATCCGGAAGACAGTCGCAAAAGGGCCGCAGGAAAACGACAGAAGGCTGGGCTTACCTGAGGCTGCACAGTGCTCGACAGGGAGAACATCTCTGGGCCCTCGGGACCTTACTCGCCAGCCGAAACTGCTTCCTATCTTCAGCTCAGAGGAAAGGGGCTGAGCCCTTTTATTTTCTCTTTATTTCCCTTCGCTTTTCTTCCAGTTTCTCTTACTCCTCCCAGAAACAAAAAATGGCTTCCCCTCCCGACAGCTGCTACGACGACATCTGCCCCGGAAGACCAAAGGCTATCGAAACAGTACTTCCGGAGCAAGTGACTGCCTCCACGTTCACCCCGCCCCCATCCGTCAGCGCTCCGCCTCTTCTGAGAACTATTTCACTTTGGGGTTGGTTTTCGAGGATTCTTTATCCAGTCCCCACAATAAATTGGATGTTCTTCTGGTCGCTTTTGATTTGTTTCTGAATTCAGTAGGGCGTCAACCGCGCTTCCCGCTCACCCAGGTTCTCTTCATTCTCTGACTTCGCTAGCTTCCACACCTCATCCCTAGCCATTGCTTTACTTAATAGTCGGCCAGGCTTCTAGCTCACGCGGAGGGAGGGAGGACTGCAGATCTTGACTGGGACTCGAAAGGTCCCCACCAGACTCGATCTACACTAAAGTCTTAATAGTCCCCTTGCTCGTTAGCCAGCGAATGCACTCCCTCGTCACAAAAACATCATGTATACCCGCGGCTGAGCCCCACCCAGCGCTCCGCAGACCCCGCCCAGCAGTGCCGCCGGCCTCGCCCAGCGCTCCGCAGACCCCGCCCAGCGCTCCGCAGACCCCACCCATCGATGCCGGCTTACAGTGAGCCGGCAGAGCGCAGGCGCGCGGCGACGTCACGGGAGGCGTCTGGCGTGGGCGAAACCTTTTGAATCTAGTTGGCGGGAGTTGCTGCGAATTATACAGCAATGGAGTCCGCCTCGGGAAGTGAGGAGAATGAAGGCGGTGCGGCGATAGAGGAGTGCGTGAATAGGATCCCGGTACCAAGACCACCCTCCATTGAGGAGTTTACCATAGTGAAGCCCATTAGCCGTGGTGCATTCGGGAAAGTGTACCTGGGACAGAAAGGCGGCAAGTTGTACGCAGTTAAGGTAGGCAATCTAGAAACTAGGAGGTCTTAAATGGTCCTCCCGCACGGACCTCCTTTTTACGTTGTTGAACAAGCTCTGGGGCTGCTGGAGCACTAGCCTGAAATGCTTGGCTTACAGAAGTCTGCACAGTCCTACTTGTTGACTGTTGGCGTTTGGCCAGACTGCAGTGAGCAGATGTCCGTCGTTTCCCTTGCCCTGCCCTTCTCTGTATCCTGGGAATCATTACCCGGTGAAAATAGTAAAACGTACCCAATTGTGTCCTGACCAGTGTTAACAAGTGAGAAAACTACGGCTGAAAGCAGAGACTTGAAGTCACAGCCGTGATTCATGAGTCGTGTTTCAAAAATCCAAAAGGCCTGAAGTACTTTGTCGGTTGTTTTCCTTGTTTGACATATAGAATAGCCAAAATCTTGTTATCACAAACAAGATTGGTTTGTAGACACTGATTTCAAATACCACTCTTAGCAGGAAGAAGCTGAATTATATTCAATTTTTCTGTGATGAAATTTATGCTGTGAAAATTTTTAATTGTAGTATTATTTATTTCATGTATTACCTGGATGTTGGATTTGTTTTGCTCTTTTACTAACTTGAGCTTCACCTGGATTAAGTTTGATACTTTAAGTTTGTAATAGTCACTTTCTGCTTATGTTTTAATTCCATCTCTTTGATAATAGATTATCAAACAGTAGCAAATGCTGTAAAACCAAAAGATCTCATTAAACCTCATTTTTGTTTTTCAAGTCTTTCATAGTGATATGTGAGCTATAAATTCATTTATAGAGCAAGTAGAAAAAAAATGTGTCCTAAATCAAGTGTTTCTTATCTATATGTGATCGTAAAAACAGTCAGTGTGCACTTAAAATTGTTCTATCCACCCTTGCTTCTCATCATTCCCAACGTTGTGGTAATGAGTGAAAATGACAAAGGAGGCTATTGACCAGTTCAAATTCCTGATACACAGTGCTTGGAAACAGCACACACAGGATAAACAGCCCTTCACCTGACTACCTAAATGCCAGTGTCACCCCTATCCTTCAGGCTAGAAACTTGAGGGCCTCTTGTATTTCATCTATGAACCATATATCCTTTGACTGTCCTGTTCTCCCTCTGGAAAACGTTCTTGTGTTTGTTTGTTTTTGTCTTTGCTTTGTTTCGCTTTTTTCATTCACAAGTGAATAAGTTCAGGCTCTCATTTCAACCCACTTGTTCATAAAAGCGCAGTTCAGTAATGATTTTTAGTAAATTAAATAGTTGTGTAACAATCACTGAAAACCAGTTTTAAAGAGTAGTTTCGCCGGGCAGTGGTGGCCCATGCCTTTAATCCCAGCACTTGGGAGGCAGAGGCAGGTGGATTTCTGAGTTCGAGAGTTCGAGGCTAGCCTGGTCTACAGAGTGAGCTCCAGGACAGCCAGGGCTACAACAGAGAAACCCTGTTTCGAAAAACTAAAAAAAAAAAAAAAGAACAGTTTCATAGCACAAATGTGTCTTTCTGCCTGTTCACAGTACCTCTTCCCTTAATATGTCAGCAGGTAACTACTAACCCTCCTCTCTCTGTCTCCCTCTTTGACAGTCCCAAATAGCCTCAGACACATGATGTAGCTGAGCATGACTGGCCTTAAACTACTAATACTTCTGACTCCATCTTCTAAATGCAGAGATTACAAGCATGTACCAACATGCCCTATGCACCAACTCACTTTCTATCTCTGCAAGGTTGCCTTTTCTGGACGTTTCACGTAAATGAAATCTTACAATGTATGATCTTTCTTCTTAAATTGCCTGATGGCTTAAGGTTCATCGGGCCTTAATTTCTATACTTAGTTGGTTGGAGTAGTTCCCTAACTAGAATCATTAGCTTTACTTTTAATCCATACTTTAGGCTGTGGTTTGCAGGCCAAAATCCAGACTCCTTAAAAAGTCAGTCATATTCCTAATTATTTGGCCCTCGGTTTCTACTTTATCTTCCACATAACTTATGTTAAAGCAACATCCAGGCAGCTGGCTGGTCCCTCAAAACCATGACTTATTTTCACACCTCAGGACTTAAGTTTATTCTGGTTCCTTCTTAACTGCTTTTGTTCCACCTTTCTCTGCTTTTCACCCATTGTTTTGTTTTGAGGTTTTACCTAATTCTCTGGAAACCTCCTCTGATCTTCCAAACGCAACTGATTGAAATTGTTTCTTACTTTATATGTTGCCAAGATACTTGCTTTTCCTGCATTAACACCTCAAGGAGTCATTAATTGTTGATATAAAAACACCGATTAATCTCTTCTGTAAATATTTTGGTTACCTTGGCACGGGACCACCTCATAAGCGTCATAGAGCTTCTGCCAGTGAGATGAAAGGTAGAATCATGTTGTTGGCTTGATTTGTTAATGTCTCTTCGGTGCTGGGAAAGAGAGACCTAGGGCCTTACCACTGTTAGGTCAGTGCTCTACCACTGATCTACATCCCTAGCCTTTCCCTTGGTTTTCTTAAGGAAAGGAGGTAAAGCTAAATTGTGTCATGTATTTATCATTTTATTAAATACTTTAATGAGTGCCTTTTTTATAGTAGTAATAAGCATTCCGGTATCTTTATTGGTTCTTTATGAGTTTCACATCGTGCACACCAATCCCATATTCCTCTCCTCATTCATCCCTTTATACCCGCCTTCCATCATTGCACCCACCCTCCAAAAGAAAACAAACAAACAAAATCTCACTGTGGCAGCTGCAGTGTGTCCCACAGTACACCCTTTTGTCCACAGTTCTTTACTTGCAAATGTTCATTTCGAGGCCTCTGGCTTCTGCTCCACTATCAATACTGGATCCTCACCAGGACCCCTCTTAGATATCCTGTTGTTGCTCTGTGTCATGGAAGTCCTGCAGCTTTGAATCTGTAAGACCAGTCCCTTCACATGCTACAGCAGTTCATAGATGGGGTAGATGTTGGGGTGAGCCAACTCAAAATCCCGATCTGGGTGGTAGCGTAGCTGGTCAACCCATCAGCTCTCCCACACCCACACCACCAAGGCAAACTCTCCAGCACTGTCCTGGGTAGCAGATAGCTCATCCAAGGTCCAGACTGGCAAGAGAACAGAGCCTACTCTCATACCTACTGGGCTGTCTCATCCTCCCCACACAGCCAGGGCCTGCTCTGTTGTGCTGCCCAAGGCTCTCATTGCCTTGGAACCAACTCTCCTGCTTGTTGTAGGTAGCAAGAGGTGAGGGGAAGGATCCTACTTTTTTTTTTTTTTAAAGTATATTTTCACTAATTCTTTGAGAACTATATAATCCCTGTGTTACTATGTCATTTAATGCACCAATTTTAACATATTGTTTTGTTTCTAAGCCAGTTTACCTTGAAACTTAAAAGGTGTAATTTGGCCAGATATGATGGCACACACCTGTATTCCCAACACTTGTGAGGTGAATATGGTAGAATTGAGAGTTTGAGGGTAGCCTCAGCTATATAGTAAATTCAAATCCAGCCTCAGATACATAAGGATGGGGATATAGTTCAGATTTTTCTGTAAGGCAGAATTCGATTTGTTGGTATTTTTTAAGATTAGAATCTTGTTCTGTGGTCCAGGCTTGCCTCAGCCTCCCAAATACTGATATTACAGTCTTGTGCTAGCTACCATGACCAGTTCTCATCATTCACGAAATAAACAGACTTCCAACTGTAAAAACGGGTAGATTTCCTTATGTGTATGAACATTTCGGCTGACTATATGTATGTGTACCATGTGTGTGTCTGGTACACAGAAAGGCTCTAAGAGGATGTTGGATCCCCCTGGAACTAGAGTTACAAATGGTTGTGAGACACCATATGGGTGCCGGGAACTAAATTCAGGTCCTCCATAAGGGCAACAAGTTAAGCATTCAACAGTCTGAATCCAGCCCCCAACATTTTTACTCTGTTCCCTTCTATCAAAGAGTAATTATATGTATGTGAGTGTGTGCCACATGTGTGGAGGTCAAGGTGTTCTAGATCTCTTGGAACTGGAATCACAGGCAGGTGTTAGCCTCCTAAGGTGGGTGCTGAGAAGAACTTGGATCTTCTGGCAGAGTAATACACACTCTTAACCAGTGAACCATCTTTCCAGCCCCTGACATTTTTACTCTATTCCTAAGAATGAGAAGCTAAAATATATGTGTGTATGTTTACATGTAAACATATATTGGTATTCATTTAACTAGCTAACTGGTTATTGGTTATTGGGCTTATTAAGAACAGTATTATCTTTTGACTTCGTTACAATAAAGCTTTCATAAAAACATACAGATCAGTCAGGCGTTAATTCATTTTCTTTCTCAAGTGCCTGGTATTTTGTCCAACACAAACAGTGCTATCTTGAAAACAACGTTTTTTAACTTGTTTCCCCATCTGAAATATTTTTCTGGCAGTTTCCTGATGTCAGTCAGATCTAAATGACATCTGTATATTTTCTCTTTCTTAGGGTGTTTATGATGTCGACTTTGAAACCTCTGAACGCAGTTTAATGAGAGTAAATGTGTCTCTTGTCATGTTATCTATTATAGGTTGTCAAAAAGGCAGACATGATCAATAAGAATATGACTCATCAGGTACAAGCTGAGAGAGATGCCCTGGCACTGAGCAAAAGCCCTTTTGTTGTGCATCTGTATTACTCACTGCAGTCAGCAAGCAATGTCTACTTGGTGAGTAAACAGCTTTGTGCTTCTGTTGACTCAGTAGCCACTCAGCCCAGTCATCTAGAGCATAGTATTATGTTGAGCATGCTTACATATGAATTCCTGCTTTGGGGCTTAATGGCTTAATGACCTTGACCAACTTACATGTTGTTTTAATGAGAAAAAGAACCAATAGGATGCGGTTTTATATACACATACACACACACACACACACACACGTATGTATGTATGTATGTATGTATGTATGTATATAGAGAGAGACAGAGAGAGAGAGGGATCCGTTTTTTAAGTAATCTGACTATTAACTGTTGGTAGGTGGCAAATCCAAACTACATGATAGATTGTTACTCTAGAAACTGACGAAGGATTAATGCTGCCATTTCTACCAGCTGTCTGAAGGCAGGCCTCCTTTTACGTTGAGGATTTTAGTCTTTTCTTCTATTAACAGCTTTCAACTGATTGTTTGCAGACTAATGACATTATGGAGGATAATGTGCCTACTAATTTAAATTATACCTCATCTAAATACTTTAGGTGAGCTATAAAAATGATACTTTGTCAAAAAACTGGCCTGGTACCTGATGATTTAGTCCATTTCCAGTCTTTAATTAACCCTCAAGTATATTTAGACTGGTGTTAAGTGTGGTACAAAGATCTAATAAGACAAAAATTTTAGAAAGGAAGGTGGTTTTGTAGCATAGTGCTGAGCACTTTTTTACTGCATCAAGATGAATTTACAAACAAGGCAATCTTGTTTTCTTTTTCTTTTTTAACAAGCCATAGTTCAAATGAATGGCAAATGGAATCATACAGTAAGCCCCTGCCTCTTTTCTCTGAAGGCAGCAGACAATACAGAATCCTTTTGGTTTGAGGATGCAAGTTTGTCTAGACATTCATCTCCAAAGCAAAGTTAAAAGCTGTGCAAGATGGCACAGGTCTATAATATCAGCACTTGGAAGGCAGAAGAAGGAAGACTGCAAGTTCTAGGCCAGCTGGAGCTATATAGAAGACCCTACCTAAAAAAGAAAGCGAGAAAGAGAGGGGGAGAGTGGAGGGAAGGAGGGAGAGGGAGAGAGAGAGAACATGAATGAATGTTGACTTTATGTTGGGGACCATTTAGTTACCTATTGGTTATCAGAGGTTTGTGGAATATGTGAGACCTAGGTAATAGTCTTGAATGCTATGTCCAAAGAAGGTAGGAAAGTTGTTACCAGCCTGGACCAGAAGTTTCCAGGTTGTTGGCATCTTGCTCCAGGAATTCAAGAAACACACAAATAGCCAAGTTTTATTCAAAGGCATGGTGAATAATGGGCAGCTGCACAGGAATAGCAGACTGAGAAATCTGTTCCAAAGCCCTTGGGCTACCTGGGTCTTCCAGGAGGAAGAGGAGTTGACTGAGTGGGGAGAGACTTAGAGAGTTTTCTGTTTGACTGATAAGCTTGGGTTATGTAAACTGTTGTCCACTCTGCATGTCCTTTCCTATGATGCATCTGATTTTAATTATATACATGCCCAGTTATGCATAGGCATCTGGTCCCTTGACAGTTTATGTTTAGAACGTGGATCATCTATCTTGCTGCACTAGTGTAAACTGAACAGGCCCACTACCTCTGCTTTCAGGATATCTTTCAAGATATGTTCGTCCACAGAGAATTAATAAGGACTGCTAGGGAGGATGGGTCAGGGTGACCCAACTGCTTTGTTTGGAGAGGGGATGTACTTGCAGCTGAATGCAGATGGGGCTCAAGCCAGACATGACCCTGGGTTGGTAAGCTATCTCTATGCTTGCCTGCCTCTGCTTAATCCTTTAATTCTTCCTGAGGTCTCCAAATGCTTTCACAGCACCCTACTTTGCATGTTTGTATGTAAAAACGATGACTGATGGATTTAACTCCTTGGTACCCAGTAGCTTTCAGTCCTATTACAACAGTAGGTGAGTGCTAATTGTGATTGCTGAACGTGGAGCCTTTTGTTCTTTACTCTAGAATTACTATAATAATTAGACAGCTATAATATTTCTTTTGTTTGTTGTTTTTGGCTGTTTCTATATAGTACTGAGGCCCATACCCAGGGCCCTACATATGTTAGGGAAGAATCCTACCACTGAGCTGTATCCCCAGTTCTATTTTTATTCATTCTAGACATTCAATATTAGACAATGTCTTACCTATCATATCTAACTTCATTATTGGTTTAGATTCTTAGATCTTGGTGCTCAAAATGTGGTCCATAAACAAACAATGTCAACAGTATCTAGGGATTTATTAGAGATCCAGAGGCCTGAAGATATAGCTCAGTGGTAGTGTGCTTGCCTAATGTCCACAAGGCCCTGGGATTAGTCCCCAGGTTTGGGGGGATGGAGGGCAACTCAAAAAGACTTAGAGTCATCTCTAACTGTCTCTGCTGGTAGCCGTCACTGAAAAGGAGAGCATCACTTTGATACTTCTGCCCAATATTCATAACGTGGAATCATGAAGAAATAACCGAAAGCCTCTTCCTGTAAATAAACCTGTTTTCTTCAACATTGTATTGTGAAAGATGCACTCTAGACATACAAACACTAGACATAGGCTCCAGATTAGAGAAATCAAGAAATGTAACAAAAAATTTGTTTTGTGATCTTGTGAATGGAGACTGGGGAGGAAAGCTATAAGGAACAATATTGAGATGGTCATAGAAATCTAAATATATGAATCTTAGATTCATAAATAAATATTAGAATCTTATTGCACTGTATTTGCTTAAGGCTGCCTTATTCAGCAACTCATGATATGTTTAATGGCAGTCAGGTGTCACAGGACAAGCCCACGTCTCCGCACTTGAGAGATAAAGGCAGGAGGATTGCAAGTACTAGGCCAGCCCAGTGGTACAGCTGAATACCCTGTCTTAAAACAAAAATTTCAGGGTAACAGCTCATTAATTTTTATTATCAAATTAGTCAGCAAAAATATAACACTAGCCAGGTATGGTGTGCGCCTGTGATTGCAGCAATAAAAAAGCCAAGGCATGAGGGTCTGTGGAACCCAGGAGTTCAAGACTAACTTCAACAGCATATTTATTAGAGTGTAGATGTTACTATGTGTCTTAGGGTTTCTAGTGCTGTAATAAAACGCCATAACCACAGCAACTTGGAGAGGAAAGGGGTTTGGTTGGGGCTTACATGTCCTGAGTTACATATCCATTGAAGAAAACTGGAACCTGGAGATAGGAGCTGATACAGAGGCCATGGAGGGATTCTGCTCAGTGGCTTATTCCTCAGGGCTTTCTCAGCCTGCTTTCTTCTAGAACCCAGAATCTCCAGCCCAGGGATGGCACCACCCACAATGTGCTAGAATCTCCAGCCCAGGGATGGCACCACCCACAATGTGCTAGGCTCTTCTCCATCAGTCCCTAAGAAAATGTCCTATAGGCTTATGAGGGCATTTCCTCAAATATTCACTTCTCTCAAATGTCTCTAGCTTGTGTCAAGTTGACATAAAAACTAGCCAGGACAACTCATAATACTAACATTAATTATGTGTGTAGAGAAGAAACCAGATCTGGCCCAGGCTAAAGATTTGTGAACTGAGATGTTGGCAAGTGGGAAGTAAATCTAATAGTCTTAGAACTTTTATATAACTGATTTTTGTTCAAGCCGACCAGTTTAATTTTTCACCAGAAAAATAGTAAGAATCCAGGATTAATGGTGCATGCTTATATTCCCAGTACTTGGAAAGCTGGGGCAGAAAATTTTTTTTGTTATCACTCAGGCCCATGAGTGATGACAAAACTAAAAATAGCTCTTCTAGACAAAATAAAACTGTAATGCCTAAACACTATACATTTCAAAAATATCATTTTAAATTCTCTTTTGATAGATAATGGAATATCTTATTGGTGGAGATGTCAAGTCTCTCCTACATATATATGGTTATTTTGATGAAGAGATGGCTATAAAATATATTTCTGAAGTAGCATTGGCTTTAGACTACCTGCACAGACATGGAATCATCCATAGGTAAGACTGACTTTTTCATACATTACTTCTTAAAGAAGATGTGTTTGAATCTTTGCTATATGCAAAAACTACTTGCTTACAGACAAGACATGCCTATTTTCCCTACAGCACAGTTGTAATATGTACTTCGAGTCTGCATTAGCTCTTATTTAATCTTCCTATATTTTGTTAAGTGTTGCTTTGAACATAAACATGACATTTTAATGTAAAGATTATTAATCTCTTTCCACTCCCATACCACCATGCAGCAGTAACAGAGTTTGTGGTCCCACAAACGGCCCACCTTTTGTCTGTTCAGAGAAAGGTTAAGTGGCTCTGTTCTGTTAAAGCTTAATCATGCCTTACTTTAAAGAGGTGGATATAAATTTGCCCCGGCAGGAGGATGAGATATCCAAAAATAATGCCAAACAGAATCTAGTATTGAACCACACAAATTTTTGTGATCCCAATATGTAACAGATATTTCTGAGAGCTGTTTTCTGTAGGTTTATTTTAAAGGAAATAACTACGGTTGTCTCTTGTAATTCACCCCACTTTACCTGGTATTTTAACATCAAAATTACTTTTCTCAGTATCTGTTTGCTTTTTTTTGTATATTCAGGGATTTGAAACCGGACAATATGCTTATTTCCAATGAGGGTCATATTAAGCTGACAGATTTTGGTCTTTCCAAAGTTACTCTGAACAGAGGTAAGAATGATAGCAAGTAAGTGCCTTTTTAGAAACCCAACAAACTTTGAGACTCTTCCATTAACTTTTTTTTACTATACTAGATAAAATCTGATGGCTATTTGTTCTGAAAGACTTGAAATGAGTATGGATGTTGGTATTGTCCCACTAAAAGGAGGCTTGGGGTATGTTGGCAGAATGTTTGCTTAACTGGATCCAATCCTAAAACAAAAAAGAAAAAAGAGGAGTAGGAGGAAGAAGAAGAAACAAACAAATAAAAGATCATTCTTGGATCTTCAAAAATCCTTAAAATTCCTTAGATATTTAAAACTGGAACTGGTAGCCACCATTCTCTTTATCCATGCTGAAACAGGATGGATATTTAAGCATGAACTGAATAACTAAACTACAATATAATCCAGAGCTGATTCCTAAAACACTTATGCAGATACATCTTGCTACCACCAAGAGCTTGATAGATACAATTTGTCCCTGTATGTATGGAAATAAGTTCATTTCTGAGTAGGAATTTTTAAAATGCTAGCATAAAAACACAACAAAGTAACCATTTCACACTGTTAACACCACAAAGGACTACTGACCCGTGAACAAAACTACAAAATAAAAAGCACAGTTTTTCTAAAGAGATTGTATATTGGCTTAATGCTGTCAAAAGAAAATTTGTATATATAAGACAAAATATTTTAATTCTCTCTGGTTTTATATGGGTTTTTCGGGGGAAGAAGGTGGAGTAACACAGGGTTTTTGTAGCCTTGCTTGTACTCAAACTTGTTATGTAGCCGAAAATACCCGTGAACTCTTGCCTCCATCTCCCAAGTGCTGGGATTATAAAAGTAATCACTGAGTATATCTGGTTTTGATGTTTTGATTTCTAAGTATTGACTGACCTCAAGGCCTCTGTATGCTAAGGAAGCATTCTGACACTAAGCAACATTCCTAGCCTGTCGCTCTTACATTTTGAAGTTTAAGGCGCTGTGTCTAGAGAACAAAATGTAAGTGAATAAAGTGATTTACAGTAACATTGTGTAATGAATTGAAACAAGACTTTACTTAAGTTCATCATAGAAATGTGGCAAGATGATAAATTACCAACTTGGAAGTAGAGCTGATTCTCTATTAAGAAGTACACAAGCACCAGGCGGTGGTGGCACATGCCTTTAATCCCAGCACTTGGGAGGCAGAGGCAGTCGGATTTCTGAGCTCGAGGCCAGCTTGGTCTACAGAGTGAGTTCCAGGACAGCCAGGGCTACACAGAGAAACCCTATCTCGAAAAACCTAAAAAAGTAAAATTAAATTAAAAAAAAAAAAAAAAAAAAAAAAAAAGAAGTACACAAGGGTTAGGGATTTAGCTCAGTGGTAGAGCGCTTGCCTAGCAAGCACAAGGCCCTGGGTTCAGTCCTCAGCTCTGGAAAAAAAAAAAAAGTACATAAGAGGAACTAGTGAAATGGCTCCGCAATTAAAAGCATTTGCTACACATGCAGAGAACGAGAGTTCAGTTCCAAGCACTGACTTCCAGGGGCTTGCAACTGCCTATAATCCTGCTCCAGGGGATCAGATGCTCTCTGCTGGCCTCCACAGGCACACAGATGCATTTGGACTTACAGACAGACACATACATGTACACATAAATAGATTTTTTTTTTTTAAAAGAAGTATAGATGAATAAGAGAGGTGAAGAGATGCTGGGGTAGGGTAAGGAATGAGAACAAAGTGTAACCACACAATGTATAAAGATGCTGTTGATGAGATCCAGCCCTTTGTGTGCTAATTTAAAAGCTTAAAAAACAAACCGAACTAGAACTGTAGATGAGAATGCTGCACATGGCCCTGAGGTAGTTTGCTTGCTTTAGCATATCAAGGGCCCTAGATGTGCATTCCACCAACACAGATACACACACCAAAAGGGTTATGTGAAAAGGCAGACTTTTTGGTTTGGATTTTGGATTATTTATTTATTATTGTGTATATGTGCATGATGTGGAGGCATTCATAGCATGTCTGGAGGTCAGCGAAACAACCTTGTGGAATAAGTTCTGTCCTTCTGCCGGGTGGTGGTGGTGCACACCTTTAATCCCAGAACTTGAGAGGCAGAGGCAGGTGGATTTCTGAGTTCAAGGCTAGCCTGGTCTACAGAATGAGTTCCAGGACAGTCAGGGCTACACAAGAGGAAACCCTGTCTCGAAAAAAACAAAAAACAAAAGTTCTGTCCTTTACCTTTACATGGATTCCAGAGTTCAAATTCAGGTCACCAGGCTAACCCAGCTCACTAGCCCTTGTTTTTGGCCTTTTGAAACATGTTCTGTTCTATAGCCCTGACTAGCCTAGAATTCATTATATAGACCAGGCTGGCCTTGAATTTGTGAGTCTTCCTGTCTCTCTAGTCTCTGCCCTTGAGCACAGGTGTACAGTCATGGCTGTCACCCCCAGCTTTTTCAAAAGGTTTGTTTAATGTATGAAGGAACATATGTAAAATTGGAACTCAAAATTGTAAGCTCTAAATTATAATTGTTTGAAAATACAAGTCTACAGTTATACCTAAATTAGGTAAACGTCTTACCTAAGCTGATAGGAAAGTCTTTAGAGTCTTCCTAATCCCACTTCATATGATTTTCCACATGTCTTGATTCAGAGGTAATATCTGATTATGCACAGTCTACAGGAGGTTCCGTTAGGGATGTTCTATAATATATAATATATTCACCATATTAGCTTTCTTTTAACATAAACAGCAAACCCAGCTCCTAATCAGTTATTGAAAAATGGGAAAGGATAATATTGGTATGTTTAAGTCATTTTTGGTCCTAAAGTAAGGCAAGCCTAGAATATATAAGATTATTACTCCTTTTTTTTTTAACTGCTTCATCAGTGTGAGACAAATGAAATTGGTATGTTCAGACTTGAAGTATAATGCTTTTGTTTTAAGACAGAGCTTTCCTTGAACTCATAGCAGTCTTACTGCTTCAGCCTTCCAAGAGCTTGGGTTTCAGGTTGAATACATTTCTTAAAGACTTACATCAAATAGAACAGACTTTTACTTTATCATCTAAATAAAATAATAAAGTATTATATCAATGTTGAATTATTTTAAAGTAGTATCCTAGTCACTGTTGTTGCTATGAGAGACACAATCAAAGCAAGCATCTAAGTGGATGATTGCTTACAGTTTCAGGGCATAGGTCCATTATCATCATAGCAGAGAGCTTGGCTGCATGCAAGCAGGTACTGGAACAGTAACTGAGAGCTTTACAGCCTGATCCACAGGCAGAGCGAGTGAGATTGGACTGGCATGTGCTTTTGAAACCTAAACACTCACCTTCAGTGACACACTTCCTCAAACAAGGTCAAATCTCCTCCAACAAGGCCACACTTCCTAATCTTTCTAATCCTTTCAAACAATTTCACTCCCTGGTCACTAAGCATTTAAAAATATTGAAACATGTTAATAAAATAGATTCATTTCTCTCTCTTTTTTTTAAAGATTTATTTATTTATATGAGTACACACTGCAGCTATCTTCAGACATACATTAGAAGAGGGCATCAAATCACATTACTGATGGTTCTGAGCCACCATGTGCTTGCTGGGAATTGAACTCAGGACCTCTGAGCAGAGCAGTCGGTGCTCTTAACCACTGAGCCATCTCTCCAGCCCAATTCATTTCTCTCTTGACCTAAGCTTAACATATTAGTTGATATAAAAGGCCCATAGTTGAATTAACTTATTTCCTTTTTTTCTCAGTACTTTATTTATAACAAAAATTTTCTTGCCTAATTTCAGAGCTTATAATTTTTAACTCTAACAGGTAACAGTGAATTTTCATACATGTTTATAATGTATTTTCGTCATATTCTCACACACACACACACACTTCCCCCAGTGACCCCACGTCCACTGATCCCCTTCCTCTTCCCAATTAGTCCATCTGATGCTTTCATGTCTTTTGTGTTTTCTTAAATGCCCAGCTAGTTATAGTAGGGTTATTTCCTAGAGTGTGTGCCCTTAACAGTAGCTACCTCAGAGAAAGAACTGTCCCTTCCTCCCCCAGAAACCATTAACTACATACAGATCCTCAGGAAAGAGAAACCTTATTAACACCTCCCCACCCCCATGGCATCATATTGGTGGGCCTAATCTTATGTAGGTCTGGGTCAGGTGATCGCATTGGCTTAAATTTAAGAATCCTATAGTCATTCCTGTAAGTCAGAATGCCACACTAATGTCCTCCTACTTGCCAGCTGTAGTATGAATTGTGTCCCTTTATGCTGAGCACTCAACAGTCACTTGTTTTTATCACTTTGATTGGGTATGAACATCTGTACTTACTGAGCCCACTTCAAAAATAAACTGCTCTAGCCAGAGCCAACAGCAATAATGATATGTGGCTAGTAAATATAATTATTTTGAAGGTGATTTGACGGGTACACCATATCCATTTGTCAAAATAAGAGCAGTAGGGACCGCCCCCTTCCCAGGACCTAATACATCCCCAGCCATCAACTTTTGACTGAGTTTAGAGGTTCAGACAAGGATTGCCTCACTCAGAGCAGGGCTTAAATCCATTCAGAAACTAGTAAGTCACCCACATAACACACTTAAAACTATTGCACCAATGGGCATGTCTGTCTCTAGTCTAGCAGCAGTATGCATCTCCAGCTCAATAAAACTGTTACTGATCATCCCCAGCCCCTCCCTGGCAGACCCTCAGCACCCTCTGGTACTGTGACAGCTAGCCAGCAGGGAGGAAACTCCTAGCTCTATTCCATGGTAGTGTTTCTATATCTTACAATGAGAGAATGTGGTTTGCTCAGCAGGAAGCCATACAATCTCATTTTGGTGACTAGTCAACAGCAGTGGCAATTGCTTGACTGAGACAACTGATAATTAGTGAGCAAGTGTTTCCTGAATAGTTGATAGCATTCTGGATTATTTCGCTATATTCAACCTATTCTACAAGACTGTTCTAGAAAACTTTTTTTTCCCAGTCCTTAGACTTAAGCCCTGGGCCTTATGCATGCTATGCTGGGAAAGACACTCTACCATTGACCTATACCTCTACTCAAAATTTTAATGACTTCGATTAGTTAATTACTTATAAATGTTGCCTCTGCATATATGTATCCAATGCCAGCCAGTTCTGTAGGTAGTTTCTAATGCAGAAAAACAAAGTTCAGAACGTGTATTATTTAATACTCAATGATAAGCAAAGGTTTTAAATATATTCATATATTTTCCTTTGCATGTATAGACATCAATATGATGGATATTCTCACAACGCCATCAATGTCTAAACCTAAGCAAGATTATTCAAGAACCCCAGGACAAGTCTTATCTCTCATCAGTTCTCTGGGATTTGTAAGTACCTCATAAGGAAAACTCATAAGATACCTTTAAATGATTCCACTTAAAAAATTAAAGCCTGCTTTAAAATAAAAATAGGATGGATGTCAGTACCACAGTTCTTTTATTCGGGTGATGGAGCTTCTGCTGTATCCAACTGAAGATGAAGCTCTTAGTACTTGTGTTGAATTTTTGCTTTTAGTATTTTTTTCTTTTTAAAACATTTTTATCACATGTAGGTGTAGTGTGCGCACCAGAGTACACAAGTGGAAGCAGAGGACACTTGTACAAGACAGTTCTCTTCTTCCACCACATGGAGCACCAGGGATTGAAGTCACGCCATCAGGTGGCAGGTGCCTTTATCTTGACCATCTCACTGACCCCAAACAATTTTGCTTTTTAATAGTTCACACCAGTTGGAGAAAAAGATCAAGATTCTTCAAACATGTTTTCAGCCCCTAAGTCTGAAGGACAACTTTCTCAAGGATTAATTTGTCCTATGTCTGTTGATCAGAAGGAGCCGACTTCAGATTCAAGCAAACTGCTAAACTCATGTGAGTATAAAAGGGTATCTTATTCCACTAAGTGTGTGCTTTAAAGAACAAAGTATCTCAAAACTTTACATTTCTAATAGCAATTTAATAACTTCAATCTGTGGCACCTCTATATTTTATTACATATACTCCATTTCTGACAAACACAGTAGATTTTATAAGTCCATAGAATAAACCATCTTGCTAATAATCATATTCAATTATCTAAATGATTGTTGGGTGAATTTCACTATGATTGGGTCTATGGAAATTTTACATGCAGAGAATAAAGTAACTGCAGTGTTGTGTGTCTTTGTAAACTTATCTTAAAATTTTTCAAGGTAGTTCACATTTGAAAACTCAAAGTAAAGGTTGAATTTTCTTGTTATCATTTGTTTTGGGGGTAGGATTTTGGTTTTGTTTTGGGGCTTTCGTTTGCTTATTTGGTTTTGTTTTGCTAGTGTTTTTGAGACAAGTTCTCAGTATGTTGTCCAGGCTGATGTTGAACTGTGAGCTCAGACTGGCCTTTACATTTCAATCCTCTCGCCTTGACCTCCCAAGTAATAAAGTTAGGGTGTGTGTCACCATGACTGACTTCCAAGTAAACATTATCTTTGCATTTGAAAACGGATGCTGAGCCAGGCAGTGGTGGCGCACGCCTTTAATCCCAGCACTTGGGAGGCAGCGGCAGGTGGATTTCTGAGTTCGAGGTAAGCCTGGTCTACAGAGTGAGTTCCAGGACAGCCAGGGCTACACAGAGAAACCCTGTCTCAAAAAAAAAAAAAGAAAAGAAAAAGAAAAGAAAAAGAAAAGGATGCTGAGGATGGTGTCACATATCTTTAACCCCAGCACCCAGAGGCAGCTAGGTCCTTAGTTCAAGATCTACCAATCCACCTAGAGGATTTGTGTATGAAAATTTAAGTTGTATTAGATGGGCTTTGAAATGAAATTTCCTTCCTAGTTGTAAAATGTAATTCTTACTATGTTACAAAGCTCTAATTTCCTAGAGTTTAATGTCATGTTCATCCCTTTTAGAGAAAGAAAAACGATGTATGCATCTTACCTCTCTATTGCTATAATAAAACTGCATGACCAAGGCAACTTAACAAAAGAAAGCATTTAAGAATTTAATTGGGCTTCCAGTTCCAGAGGTTAGAGGTCATGATGGCAGAGCTAGGACACAGAAGTAGGTGGTTTCAGCAACAGCTGAGAGCTCACATCTTGATCCACAGGCAGGAGGCCAAGAACACACTGGCAATGTCTTCTTTAACCTCAGGTCTGTACCCATGACAAAAGTCCTCTTATAAGGCTATAACTAATCCCTCCCAAACATTTCTGCCAACTGGGGACCAATGAGTGAAACCTGAGCCTTTGCAGGCCACTCTCATTCAAGCCATCACAGTGTGCGTCCTTTATGTGCACATAAGTGCTTTAGAGCCTCTCATCAGGCAGTAAAGCCTAACTGTCCTGGTCTAATGGAAAGTGAAGTGAGAGCCTTTATTCAGTCTACAGAAGCGCTTGAGAAAGCCAGCATGGTGATGCACTGTTGTAATTTCAACACTAAAGATAGGGACAGGGATCCCGTGGGCTGACTAGCCAGCCAGCCTAGACTGCTTCGACAGCTCTAGACCAGAAAAGAGACCTTATCTCAAAAAACTAAGTAGGAACTGAAGAGATGCCTCAGCAGTTAAGGGCACTGGCTGCTTTTCTAGAGAACCTGTGTTCAATTCCCAGTGCCTATGTGGCAGCTCACAACTGTCTACAACTCTGGTTCCAGGGATCTTACACATACTCTAGCCTCCACAGGTACTAAGCATGCACATGGTGTAGACATACATGCAAGCAAAACACTTAAAATTTACATAATACATATAAAATTTTAAAACTTATTTTAAATACATATTTTTAAAAAAGAAGAAGATGCACGGTGCATGGGACACTCTGCCTCAGGCTGATCTCTGGCCTCCCACTCTAATGGACACACACATACACAAAACTAAGGAGCACCAGTTTCTAGCTATTTATGTAGGATAAAGGAGCATGTGTACTCTAGGTGCTGCCTTACTGCAGTGGCTCACTAGGCGTCAGTTTTCTATCGTGCGACTTATCAGATCATAGTAACAAAATCCCTTAAAGAGAGCCATAGGTGTAAAGCTCACTGTTAGAATGTTTGAGATACACACACACACACACACACACACACACACACACACACACACACACGGTCATGGGTTCAATCCTGAGCACTGCAAAAAAAAAAAGCAACTGCCTGTGGCTTTCTGTAATTCTCACACCAATGAGCATTATAAATTTCAACATCTCAAGCTACAGTGTTAATTAAACATAACATAATTGAGCTAGATAAATTTAATAACATTCTACCCTTACAGCATATCTTATTAATGCATACCAGTAATTGGTCCATTATTGATAAGTCCAAATAAATCATATATAGCTCAAAATCAATTTCCTTCTAATTGTATTTTAATATCCTTATCCTGGCTTTCATTTTACAAATGAAAGTGATTTGGTTTAGTTATAACCTTCAAAGCATTGCCTACATTTGAAATAATTCCTGAATATAAACATAATAAAAATCATAGCAGATGTATCACTATCTTTGTGGATTAGGTAATGTTTACAACGAGTAGTCATAATATATAATATATAGTACAGATACCTGGAAAGAGTCAAGATCCATAAGCAACTAGTAACTGAAAATAAACTAGCATTTTCTTTTCCCTACAGGTTCTGAAACACTTGCATCCAATCCAGAAATCCCTGTGAAATGTCTGACTTCTAATCTACTCCAGTGTAGGAAAAGACTGGGTACCTCAAGTACTAGTAGCCAGTCTCATACCTTCGTATCCAGTGTGGAGTCAGAATGTCACAGCAGTCCCAAGTGGGAAAGAGACTGCCAGGTTAGGAGGAAGTACACATAACCTAAAGCTAATAATGCACATGAAACCAGTGATACCAACACCATACCGTTCCATAAGAAACCTGTAAGGAAATGACATTGCTACATGGGTACGGTTGTGGTATTATAAAAAAAGTCTTCATTTTTCTGAATATTGTGTCAGATTCTTGTAAAAGCTTCAATTCTTCTCTCATTTAGTTGTGATTCTGGTCTTTCTTAATGTATGATGAATGAATAAGTATTGTAGTAAATGAACAGAAAGTGTTTGACTTCCAGGCAGACGTTTTCATTTCCTTTTGTAATAAAGACATTAGATAATTGAGGGTTTGTTGTTTGTTCCCAACACAATTTTAAAATTGTACTCTCTCTGTACTGTTTACTACAACTTTCTCATTTAATAGAATGGAAACTCTTCAGATACTACTTTTAGGACATAAAACTAGTAGGGATGTTTCCTTAAAAGTGTCTGTTACAGAGCGGTTGTTAGCCAAATGAATAGATGGTCTTTAAATTATTTTACTTAAGCCAGACTGTGGTGGTTCATGCCTTAAACCCTCCACTCAGGAGGCAGACGCAGGTGGATCTCTAGGTTCCAGAACAGCCAAGGCTACAGAGAAAAACCCTGCCGTGAACCAACCCCGCAAATATTTACTTTATATGCTGTTTTCGCTTTCTCTATAGTTACTGATGCTAATAAATAGAAAAGGTCTCAGAAACTGAAGTGTAAAACCGTACCAAGTCCTCCTCCATCAAAGGTTAAGATCAACGTAAGCCATTTGATAAAGTAGTTTATGTCATATTTGCTTCTTATTCCCAGAAATCTGACTTTTCTCATTATTGTTGGATATTTGTATTTTTAGGGTAAAGTCAAACATAGATAAAACAAGACATCTAGTTTTTTCTGTTTAGACTTTGCTACAGCTAGACATGCTGTACAATAACCAGATCCTTACTCCTAGAACTCTTATCTCATCTCCTTCATATTACAGAGATCATACTGTGTACTCTTTCAGTCTATATGTAGCCCCACTTCTTCCTCCCACTCAGTGCTACACTGAGGAAGCATGCCTGAGAGGACAGCAGACTAGAGCGTAGGAAAGCTGAAGTCATACAAGTGACAGTGGACCAGGAGGGACTCTGATAACACTATCAGTTCTATACCAGAAACACCAGTGAATTATAATTCAGAAATCTTTTTGCTTAGAACTAAGTGTTCTTCACTACTAAGTAAGTTAATGGTAGTTAATAAAGTTTGATGTTTTTACATTAAAAACAGATGCCATTAAGGCTAGGGTTGTATCTTTGTGGTGTAGTTGTTGTTTTCCATGATCCTAAATTCAGTCTCTAGTAATAGCAGGAAAACAGAAAGGCAGTATTGACACTGCAGAAGATTTATGCTACGAAAGTATTCTTATAAAATCCCATAGGGCTACAGAGATGGTTCAGCAGTTAAGAGTACTGGCTGCTCTTATACAACATATTGTATATATAATATATACAAAATTCTGAAACAAGTGCCTTCAGGTTTTTTTTCAGTTCAGTCTTCAAGGAAAGCATTTTGCTCGTCTGGGGTTGGTACAGTGCTTGCCTAGCAGGCACAGCACTCTGGCTCAATCTCCAACATCATAAACCTTGGGTCTGGTGGCACATACTGTAATTCCATCAGAGTTCAGGCTCATCCTTGCTATGTGTCAAGCCTGAGAAACACATGAGGCTGTCTCAAAAAAGAAAAGGAAGATTGTGGGAGGCTGTGACTGGCAGGGACCAGTGAGGGGGATGAAAGAAAAGGAAGATTGTGGGAGGCTGTGACTGGCAGGGGCCAGTGAGGGGGATGAAAGAAAAGGAAGATTGTGGGAGGCTGTGACTGGCAGGGACCAGTGAGGGGGATGTAAAGTGAGTAAGTAAAATAATAATTATTAAAGGGAAGAAAAGCACTTTGTTTTCGATCCAGTGTCAGTTGATCTTTTTAATAATTACTTTTTTATTAATTTATTTATTTTTGTTCACTGGCATACTCTATACCTGAGTTATATTCAGAGCCCCAACAATGGATTTTAATTCATACATATTTCTGGCTCTGTGTTATTGTTTATATAGTGACACATATTTACAATAACTACTTTTGGTCAGTAATTTTTCAGTCAGTAGATTTTAGCCTTTTACATTTTGCCATTTTAAACAGGATCATCATCTCTCTATTGCAAAATAGATTGTGTATAATATAAGCCTACCTCAAAATTTGACTGAATATATTCTGTTAATTTTTCTTGTTTAATATTATGTAGCATGTTACCAAAATAAGTATTGGGAGATAATTTATTTAAATTGTAATCAATGTTACACTTGGAACAGTGTGATTATAAGCAATGTAGTATTATATTGTAGCTTATACTATAATTATTTTTAATTCTTCTGTTTCATCTAAAAACAAGAAAAGATTACATACTAGTTCACTGGGTTATTTATCACATGTAGGCAATCACAGAATAGAAGCTTTGAAAGATCTAAGGTGTGTAACTGAGAGTAGCATTTACCTCCTCTTAGAGTACCAAGTCCTCAGGCTGTACAAGGATGAGCTGGAATGCAGTTGAAATGCTGTATGCAAAACCTACAAGTGCCATCGAGACAACAGATCTGGAGTTAACACTTTCTCCCATTCGTGACAGCAGTGCCATTCCCGCCACTGGAAGCAGCCAAGAGACCCTCCCTAGAAAATGCTTCAGGGAAATCTCTTGGGAAGCAAGAGAACTGGATGTAAATGAGAACGTGACCATTGATAAGGAACAGTCTGGTTTCTGTCAGTCCAGTCAGTGGGCTGTAGATTCTAGTGTTACATCTGAAGAACACCTTGGTAAAAGAAACTGTAAAAGAAATTTCCACTTGGTTGACTCCAGTCCTTGTCAGGAAATTATACAAAGTAAAAAACACTGTATAGAATATGAGGCCAATAAGGAAAGGTCAGGCTGCTATACAAATCAAAATACAGGCTTGACAGCTGAAGTCCAGAACCTAAAGCTGTCAGTGTGCGGAAGTCAGCAACATGACTATGCTAATAAGGAGAACATTGTCACCTATTTAACTGACAGACAAACCCCAGAAGAACTACACATACCAGCGATCGCAAAGAATCTTATGTCTGAACTAGACGAAGACTGCGAGCTGAGCAGCAGGAAGGACTGCCTCAATTCTAATTCTGTGTGTTCTGATGAGGACAGAGCCCCTAAAACTGTCTGTGTGGATTCTGATTCATCCTTTCCTGGAGCGTCTATGATGGAAAGTTCACTGGAAACTCAGGCCTTAGAACCAGGTAAAAGCATCAGAGACTACTCTTTTGAAGAACCAAATACTGAAGATCTACCTATGTTACCAAAATGCCAAGAGAATTCCTTGCCAAAAGATGACTGGCATACTTCTATCCAAGACAGTAGCCAAATATTAGCTCCTCCTTCAAGAGCGTCCAAAACATTAACCTCTAAAACCAACATCGTGGCTTTTCGAAGTTTTAACAGTCATATTAATGCATCCAGTAATTCAGAACCATCTAAAATGAGCATAACTTCTTTAGATGCTATGGACATTTCCTGTGATTACAATGGTTCGTATCCCATGGCTGTGACTCCTACTGAGAAAGGAAGGGTCTATATGTCACATCAGGTATATTCCACTTTATTCTTTCAATATTAGAATAATAATCTTTTAAGACACATGCTTGCCTTTTGGCTAGGTTATATGGTATTAATTATACAGTTTGATTCTCCTGTAGATTGTTGAAATTTTTTCATGTATAAAAGTGAAGGTGATAGTGATGTTTATTATTCTTAATAGTTGTATAACTATGCTTTTCTAAGAAACTGATCTCAGTACACTCTGATATAAAACTGAAGGTTATCTCAATATCCTCCAACAGCATATATATTTCAAATATTATTTGTCTTTATTTGCTATACTATATAAACCAAAAATTCTATTTCTTTTATTCCTTTGATGGGGCATTATAAAAAGATTACACTCCAAATTTAGGTTATGAGATTTCAGTTTTCCTTTAAGGGCTTAGATGTTCCTTAACCTCAGAACCTATTTTCCAAATGCCTGTAAGGGACAAAAGCCCCATCGTACTGCTTTCAAAGGTTGGTGTTAAACAGCAATTACATTAAAACCTTTAAGGACCGCTTAGTACAAGAGGTAACAGATACTTAGTTCATCTTATGTATTGTCTTAATATTTTTCAATCACTTTCTCAGCCATACCTTTTCTTATTTGTATCAATCTAAGCTGTCAAGGTACTTTTCTTAGGTGGAATACCTCCTTATAAACCTTTAATCTGAATTCCTCAGAGGCTAAAGCAGGATCATGGGTTTGAGGTCAGTGTGAGCTATATAGAAAAACTCTCTCAAAAGGAATTGTTTTCGCGGGGCTGGAGAGATGGCTCAGTGGTTAAGAGCACTGACTGCACTTCCAGAGGTCCTGAGTTCAAATCTCAGCAACCACATGGTGGCTCACAACCATCTGTAATGAGATCTGATGCCCTCTTATGGTGTGTCTGAAGACAGCTACAAGTATATTCATATATAATAAATAAATAAATAAATCTTTTTAAAAAAAAAAGAAATTGTTTTCGCTTACAGTCATATCTTACTGAAACAATTGATGTTATCTGAGCTATTGAATTTTATTACAGTAAGAACCTTTTTATAATTATAACTAGCCTGAGTCTGCTTTGTAATCCCTGATTTGAATGCATGTTTCATACCTAAAGAATGTTTGTTGTTAGTCATTTGAAAGAAATTAACATATTTGTTGTCTCTTGAACTCTTGAATTGGCAGACTCCAAATCAGGTCAAGTTGGGAACATCATACAGAACTCCAAAGAGTGTGAGAAGAGGAGCACCTCCAGTAGATGATGGACGAATTCTAGGGACTCCAGATTACCTGGCACCTGAGCTCTTACTGGGTACAGCCCATGGTAAGATATGCATTATGTGTCTTGGGTTTCATATTTTATCAGTGACTGCATTACCCTTTTATATGAAATGTCTTTGATCTGTATTCAATCCCTGGAAACTACATGGTTCCTCTTCTCCACTAAGTTGTCTTCTAACATCCATACTGTGGGCATGTGGTTTCTTTGTTTGTTTTATTAATCATTCCATTCATTTACATCTCAAATGATATCCCACTTCCTTATTACTCCTCCACAAATCCCCCATCCCACATCCACCCTCTCCTCCCTCCCCTTTGCCTCTATGAGGGTATTCACCTACCCACCCATCCTCTCCCACCCCACCGCTCCAGCACCTAGAGCATCAAATCTCCACAGGACCAAGGGTCTCCCCTCCCATTGATGTCAGACAAGGCCATCCTCTGCTGCATATGTATTTGGAGTCATGTATCCCTCCCTGTACACTCCTTGGTTGGTGGTCTGGTCCCTGGGAGCACTGGGTGGTGTGGCCAGCTGACATTGTTCTTCCCATGGGTTGCAGTCCCCCTCTACTACTCCAGTCCTTCTGCCAGCTCCCCCACCAAGATCCCTGAGCTCAGGCTGATGTTGGCTCTGAGCATCCACATCTGCATTGGTCAGTTGCTGGCAGAACCTCCCAAGGAACAGCCACACCAGGTTCCTGTCAGCAAGCACCTCTTGGCAACAGCAACAGTGTCAGTATTTGGTGTCTGTGATCCTAGATGTGTCAGGACACCTGGGGGGTCAAGCTGCAACTGGGTGTGGGCTAAGTTCTTGGGGATCCAGAGCAAAGATTCTGCTCCAAGCACAGGTACAAACCGGAAGGCTTTTTTGCTTGTTTTATTTTTGCTCTTTGAGACAGCATTTTCCTATGTAGACCTGGTTTTGATACTTAAAAAGAGTACATGGCATCTCTTTGTCTTATAGCATTTATAGTGGGAAAAAGGAAACAACTTGGGGCTGTGGAGATAGCCAGGTCAGTTAATTACAAATGAGTCATGAAATGGGAGGGTGAGGCGGCATGTTGGCCAACGCCTATAATCTTAGCAGTGAAGAGACAGACAGAAAGGAGGATCCTGGGGGCTTGCTGGCCTGCCAGTCTTGCCAAATCAGTGAGTTTTAGGTTTAATCAAGAGACTTTGTTTCAAAACGTTAGGCAGAGACTGATGGAGGAAGATGCTCTACATGGACTTTTCGGCCTCTACATGTGTGCACATACCCACACATGTATATATACATACACAAACATGCATAAATCACAACACATACATGTTTCAAAAAAAAAGTATTCTCTGGGTATAGGAGAATAAACACTGTAAAGCATGTAGCTGTTTCTCTTGTGTTCATTTACTTTGTGGGGCTGAAGATAAAAACCAAGGCCTTAAATGTGCTCTGGGGAAGAGTTCTACCACTAAGCTACATCTGAGATTCAATGGTTTTGCCTTCTTTGATTCAGTCTCACTGAGTCTGCCCTCAGTCTGGACTAAAAGTGATTTTAAAGTTAGCCCTAAATTTCTGTTCACTCTTCAGAATTTAACCTTATTTTCAAGTCACAGCAATGCAAAAAGCAACTAATGCAGTTATGAGTTATAATAAATTTAACAGTTTATTCATACTTTGGATTTATATGATAGAAACTGCAACATAAGCACAGCCAAATATCCTAAATCACAGGTACCCTGCAGTGGTCCAGAGAGGCAGGTCACACACTCTGTTCTCAATGTCTGAGACACCCCAGCAGTGAGCAGACCGAGTCAGTTCCCAGTGAAGCTCTGGTCATTTCTTTCCCATGTCTCATTCAAACTTGGAGCAGAGCTCTAAATTGCTTGTTGTTAATCAAATTTAAAATGTACATTTAGAATATGTTTAAAAGTTGAGGAACTAGCCTATATGTGGAAAATTTTTTACATAGTTTCTATACTTTATTCTGCATTAAACATTTTTCATTGTTGAGGTCAATTATTTTCTGCTAGTAGGAAGGTAAATTTGTCATTCAACATTAATTCATTGCTGTTAATACGTATGAGATTAGATAAAACAATTTATGCATAAAAAGATAGTACTGTGATTAGAGACTGCTCATTTAATCATTACTCTGTTGTAACAGTGTATTCATGGCATGCAACATAATTCGATGTAAGTCTGTTTCTGACAGATGCACTCTAACAAATAAGTCACAGAATTTGTTTTCGTTCACTTTTCAGATATGTCATTATAGTGGTGATGTTGTAAATATGTAAGTGATCTGGATCTGGTATGCCATCACTGGTCCAAGAGACTCCTGTCTCTCCAAGAAAAAAATAACCATTTGCTAGCCCCTCCCTTTTCCTCCAAAGCTACAATTACATGGATAACAAAGAAAGATGTCTGACAGTATTTTCCCTTCCTGCTTTGCTAAGACAAGTTCGTCAGCCAGGGTCAGTTATTATCTTGGCCAGCTCTTGTGGAAATGAGACATTCTTTAATGTTCAAACTAAGTTAAAGCCAAGGGGAAAAAAATGCATTAAGAGCCTTTTTGAGAATCCAAGCAGCAATAAAGCCTACCTAAGATATAGTATGTCACTTTTATCGCATAATAAGTACAGATTTCTCTAAAAATAATATTTTATAATAAAAGTTTTACCAAAACAGAAATGATGAAGACAAAAAGAATAAAGTGTGCCATAAACAAGTTTTAAAAAGATAAAAGCATATATGTACTTAATGTATATACTCTTTAATTTTACCATAGTTAACCTTTAAATCTTTTAAAATCCTTAAATAGGCTGGGAGATAAATCAGCAGGTAAGAGCACTGGCTACTCTTTCAGAGAACCCAGGTTCAATTTCCAGCACCCACATGGCAGCTGACAGCAATCTCTAACTCCAGTTCCAAGAGATTTGACCTCTTATTTTTACTCCTGTCACTAATAACATTTGGTACACAGGAAAAAGACAATTTTTCTGAAAAAAAAAAAAACCTTTAAAATGACATTGTTATCTGGTCTTTATTAATACCAAAAGAGTAGGACAAATATAGTCACAAGATTTATAATAACCAGATGTTTAAAGGTGATCATTCTTGAAACATGAACTAGCCATGCCTCAGGAGGTCATAGCTATGTAATCAAACTAGCTAAAAGAAAAACTAAGAGATACTCTAAACAAAACACTGCATATAGTTCAAAAGACTGTATACACGTAGAGAAATACACAGTCAACCTGGTCAATTCAATTGCTTCTTGCTCAGCTGCTACTTTTGCTTCCTTAAACCATACTGTTATTATTTCAAGACAGGATTTCAGGTAGCTCAGGCTGGCCTTGAACTTAATCATGTAGCTAGAGCATCACCCTGAACTTCTAACCCTTCTGCTTCTAGCTCTAGAGTGCTAGGACTTGAACCTACAGCCTCATGCAAGAAAGGCAAGCAGTCTTAATAACTTAGCTACATACCTTACCTACTGTCTTAATGGGAGGGGGGGGGAGTTGTTGGGGGACTTGAGACAGGCTCTCTGTAGTCTTGGCTGTCCTAGAACTTGCAAACCAAGCATGTATCACCTTCCCTAACTATTTTCTTAATTGTTTAAACCATATGCATAGTACTACTATAATACAAAGAAAACAATCTGATTCAGGTTGTAATAGGTAGATATACTTCTTAATGATTTTACCAAGTGTTCCTCCCTCCTAAGACTGCATTTTTGTGTATTAGGCCAGTCTTTGCTGTCAACTGCTTCCTAGCCTTGTGGCATAAAAATATTTAAACTGGCCATTTGGGTACCTGTGAATGAACTTCCCAGAAAGAAAGTCCATGTCTGTGTTCAAGATTCTACAAGACCAAATGATTGAACATTAGGATTATGGAGAGTTAAAAAGTATCACAGACCAAAGTCAAAAAAGCCATTCACTGCCCACCTCTGTGTCTGACCTAACATCTTGTGGCCATCAAAACCTTTAAAATGTTTTAAAGCAAAGAACAAAAGCAAATGTTCATTTTTGGCAAACCATGAGCTCCCACCAATCCAAAAGCTTAAGAATGTTGGCAGATAGTTTCTGGAAACTATGAGTTTTTCCTGCTTTTCTATGACCTCCCTGTGGGCACCACCAGTGTTATCTAGTCAGTGTCTGACTTATGACTTTCCTTGTTAACATAGTCCCATGTAACCACTTCCACAGTGGAACATGCCTTTCTTTTTCCTTTTTGAGATTTTACTTATTTTCATTTTATGTGTATGCTACTTTGCCCGCATATATGTCTGCACCATGTGCATGCCTGGTACCTACTGAGGCCAGAGGAAGGTATTGGATCTCTTGGAGCTGGAGTTACAAATGGTTGTGGTGCTGGGAATGGAACCCAGGTCCTTTAGAACAGCAGCCAGTGCTCTTAACCACTGAACCCTCTCCTCGACCCCAGAACATGTCCTTGAAGGCAAACTAAATCTGTTCCTGAACCAGGATCATTCAAATTTGGCTACAGAATAGCTTTTTCTCACTTTGAGCTAAGAACTTTGAGCTAAGAACTTTTTGCATCAAAAAAATATATAGTAAAACACTATTTAGGGTATTCAGTAATTACCTTTCTGTAAGTTGGTATAAATATTACTGTCCTACTTTGGGTTAAACAAGTGAAATACAGTGTAATCTTTGGGGGGGTGTTTTTTTATTTTTGTTTTTTTCAAGACAGGGTCACTGTGTAGTCCTGGCTATCCTGGAACTCGCTCTGTAGACAAAACAGGCTTCAAACTTAAGATCTGCTTGCTTCTGCCTCCCAAATGCTGGATTTAAAAGCTTATACCAGCACTACCTGGCTATGTTGTCATTTCTTAACTTAATATTTTCTAAAATACACTCCTTCAATGCTCTTTAATATATAAAATTCATCAAACTGTCAGAATTTATTAATCTATCAAAAAGTGGCCTTGAAAAGTATTGCTAATCTAAACCTCTGGGAAGCTAAGGAGACTGTTATTGCCTGACCGAAAGTAATTTGAGTTTTTGTACTGTATGGAAACAGAAGGAAAGCCCTAAAGTAAGAAGGCTTTGATGGCTCAAGCATCAATATACTAATGTTTCTGTTATAAGTTACTTGTATAATATGCTTGTAAGTTCCACATATCTCCTTTTACATTCCAGGTCCTGCGGTAGACTGGTGGGCACTTGGAGTTTGCTTGTTCGAATTTCTAACAGGAATTCCCCCTTTCAATGATGAAACGCCACAACAAGTATTTCAGAATATTTTAAAAAGAGGTGATTCTTTTTATGTTTTCTATTAGGATAGATTCAGAGTTGGAGGATGCAGCTCAATGGTAGAGCACTTGTCTACCATACACAAGACCCTTAATTGCACCCATAGGGGAGAAGAAAATTATTATTAGTTATTATTAAATCATTATTAATCCCTAGTAGTTGAGAATGATTTAAAAATCTGTTTAATAAAGGCATTTTAATATAGAGTTAAGCATGGGGTCAGAGGGGTATGAGAAGGTAAGGGAGTCAGAATTAAGATACACCCAGAAAAATCGGTGTTGATTTCTTCAAGGTTTGCAGAAAGCAACATCAAAGAACTTTACTTGCATATTTGTACTTGTAGATATCCCATGGCCAGAAGGTGAAGAAAAGCTATCTGACAATGCTCAAAGTGCAATGGCCATGCTTTTAACCATTGATGACACAAAAAGAGCGGGAATGAGAGGTAAGGGCTTGTCAGTGACCTACTGACACTTATTAACTTTACTGCTTAGTGAGAAAGTGATAGTTCCCCTAGATATGCATTTATATATGTGTCTTTATTTTAATTTAAAACTCAGCCCAGTGTAGTTGCAAGTAACACACTGAATTTTGTAACTCCATAAGGTACCAGAAACAATATTATACCATATCTTTTAGAGAAAAAACAATTTGTAGGCATATAAATCTCCTAAATCAATATTCCCACTGTAACCATTAGTCATCTTCCAGTATTCTCCTTAAAAGTAGATATGGTTGGGTTTACTTACTGTCTTGTCAGTTCTTTATTTACTAACATTTATATTGTTGCTTTTAAAGGTAAAGGGTTAGATAGACTTGGTGGCCCATACCTTTAATCCCAGCACTTAGGAGCCTGACATAGAAGAACTGCCATGAGTTCAAAGCCAGTCTAGACTCCATAGTAAATAAAATAAAATAGAATAAAATAAAATAAAACCTGTCCAAAAAACCATGCAGAGGAGCTGTGGCCCCACAGTAGACACTTGCACTGCATGTGCCAGGCCTTGGGCTCAATCACCAGCACTGCCAAGAAATGGCGAAGGAGCCAAGAAAGAAGTGCTAAAGCAACTAAATATCACAGTGTAGTCCAGACAGTGAACATGTTTTCATTTTAGTAGGTAGAAGTAATAAAAATATAAAGAGGACCCAGGAATGATGGCGGGCAGTTTGAGGCTGACCTTAATAGGTCTACATAGAGTCTATTCCAGTCCAGGCAGGATTACATTAAGACTCTGTCTCAAAATAAAAAATAAAATGAAGAGTCTGGCATCTTATAAACAGGGGTGTACTGTGATGGAAATATTCTAGATATCCAATGCTAGCTACTAACTTCTAAAGATGCAGTCAGTGGAATCAGTAAGTCAGAGACATGGAGAGAATGTGTGAGAAGTGTCACCAAAGACCAGAACCAAGCCATACATGCTGGTACATGCCTAGAAGCCAGCACTTGAGAGGCCAAGGAAGAAAACTGTAAAAACATTCAGCCTGAGCTACACAGTGAGTTCCAGGCTAATCTGGGCTGCAGTGTGAAACCTTATTTCAAACAGATAAAGAGCAAAGCAAAAGGGCAGTAAGTTAAATAGACAGCAAGTCATCATCAATGTATGTGGAATGTGCATAAAGATGAAGTATAGAAAGCAGAAAAGACCAGCTTCATCTCTTAAGTTGTAGAGCAATAGATGGTGCTTAGAGATTGCCGTGACGTGACAGGCGGTTGAGGAGGTGAATGAGAACTGGAGCATTTAATCCTGAGCTCCAGAGGTAGGGAAGAAGCAAGCCAAACCATCTTCAAGTGAGAAGATGCTGGCATCAAGAAAGATGCACTTCTACAGCATCCATCCATTCACTCACTTAACAAAGGTAATCCAGACACCTATCATACGCCAGGAGATGTGCAAAATAACACAGTATAAAATATGTAGCTTACTAGGGAGACACACATTAAACAAGTATCATAATAAAGTAGGATACATCTAAGATATTCTTTTTTAATTCCTGAGAGCAGAGTTTAAATAATGGTATCACCTTCTGATTTTGGTTTTTTATATATTTCCCTCTTAAGAACTGAAACAGCATCCTCTCTTCAGTGAAGTGGACTGGGAAAATCTGCAGCATCAGACTATGCCTTTCGTGCCCCAACCAGACGACGAAACAGATACATCCTATTTTGAAGCCAGGAATAATGCTCAGCATCTGACCATATCTGGCTTTAGTCTGTAGCATGCATGTCATTTTTATCTAACTTGTAATATAGAATTATGTTTTACAATAATATGCTACTTAATACTAGATTGGTCTAAATGGGATAAGAGTCATTATTTTACCTAGACTAAACAGCTTTTAATTACTAAGTACAGAGTTAAAATAAATAAGAAATATAACCAGTAATTAATCTTTACCCTAGAACTGTATATAAACCATAATAGCTTTTTTCATCTTATTTATTCACAGCACTTTATGAAGAACAGCATATCAATAAACCAAAACAACACTACCACTCTAAATAGAGGGAATGAGCCATAAGCTTATCTGTATCTGCTGAATTTAATTCTATTCACTTTGGTGTTAATATCAAACAAAAAAAGCACCGTTCTGTTTAAATTTATTTGCACATGGTTATATGCAAAGCTGTTCTTGGGGCTGTCATATGAGACATGCATGACTATGAAAATCATGTGAGCCAGACATGATGATGGAAGTCCCCATATTCAGGAGCAGATGTAACACAGGCATATGAGTGCAATGTGAAGACTAAGGCCAACCAGGACCATAATCCTCCGCAGTATGTCTGCAGGGTGTGGACTAGTCAAAAGAACTGAGGTTCTAGCTCACCTTACTACAGATGGAGTCTCACTGCCTTGAATGCTCTTGGTGCTTCCCTCTACAATTCCTGCTTGTTTAAGTGGGTAGTGGAAAGATTGGGTATGATACTCTAAGTGATTTTAATAGCTTATTCACTTTTAATAGAAAAACTTATACTTTACATCATATCGTTTCAAACATCGTGAGAGACAAATAGTAATAATTACTTTTGCTTACTAAATGTAACTGTAACTAGTGATTTCAGTGTCGTTCTTTTCAAAGAATATGTACTAAGACTCAGCTCACAAGTCTTATCTTAAACTAGTTGAGACTTTCAATATTTCCCTAGAAGAGCAAAATTAAGGTTCCCATGTGTCATAGGTAAGGTTTTTGCTAATCCCCTTTTGCATACTGGCTTTAGTGCTTTCCTTCCCAGTCACAGCCCAGGTAGAATGGAGTTTGAAAGATGCATAGGCAGTCCGTGCTTACTGTGCTTATTTTAAGTAAAGACTACTTAATATTCCAGTCACCATTTTTACTAAAAATATTCTAAATATATTTACAACTTCATTTAATATGACTCATTTTCAAGTGACAGCATAATTCTACAGTCTGTTTACTCTACCATCCTCATAGTGTTTTCAAGTACTAGAAAGAAAAAAAGCTTTGGAATCAAAAATGGCTAAACGACTACTGCCAAGCTGAAATGATGTGGACAGGTTGAAGGTGAGCACTAAGATGCTGGCGGCTGGAGTAGCAACGCTTAGTGTGCAAAGGGCCCTGTGTTCAATCCCATGGACACACAAATAGTCATTACCTTGTAGAATTAGAGTAAGCAGAGCCATAGTAACAAACAAACCTGGGGTTCAAAGTCCTGGCCCTTGATATGAGAGCACTGGACCCCAGCTTTGGGGACTGTTAAAAATTAGTCTGCAGAAGCAAGCCCCTAGTGGGTTCTTAAATCACTGGACAACTGGTTATAGTGAAATTAAATTCTGCTGTGGATTATTGTGGGGTCCTGGCCCGCCTGGGGCTACATGAATATAGCACTGAAATAGTTAGAAAAGTATGTAAATGGGTGGCTGAATAAGCAGGGAAACAGCGTGCTATATTTAAGTATACAGAAGAGAAGCATGAAGACACTATGTATATTTTTTGTAAAATGCTTTTTTCTACTTTGTTTTCAAAGAGTGAATCATAAACAGTTTGCACATTTATATTTCATTTTCTTTTATTTGTACAGAATGTAATTAAAAAAATAATTATTTCTTATTTCAAGATTATTTAACTTATGTTCCAGAAGTGTTGTTTCTTTTATTGTGTGACTGAGAGTGGCCCCCATAGGCTCATGTTTGAAGACTTGGTCCCTGGTTGGTGGAACTGTTTGGGAAGGATTAGGTGTGTCACCAGAGGTGAGCATTGAAGTTTCAAAAGACTCAAGACACTCCCAGCACACTCTTAGTTTTTCAAGACAGGGTTTCCTTGTGTAGCCCTGGTTGTCCTATGGACCAGATTGGCCTCAAACTCAGAGATCAGCCTACCTTGGCATCTGGAGCACTGCAAATAATAGTGTGTACCATCCCTGCCTGTTTTTTTTTTTTTTTTTTTTTTTAATGTGCATTGGTGTTTTGCCTGGATGTGTATATTTGTAGCAATGTCAGAACTCCTGGAGCTGGAGTTACAATGTTGAGCTGCCTTGTGGATGCTGGGATTGAACCCAGGTCCTCTGGAGGAACATCCAGTGAGTGCCCTTAACCACTGAGCCATCTCAACAGCCCCAAATTATTCTTTTAATAAGTTGCCTTGGTCGTGTTGTCTTAATCACAGCAATAGAAAAGTAACTAATATAGGTTATCTACATATTCATATGACTAAATGGTATATACATGAATGAGTAAGTAAAACATTCTGAAGGTAAAACAAAAACTAGGGCTAGCAAGTGATTCAGCAGGTAAAGGTGCCCGCCACCAACCCCAACCACCTGAGTTCAGTCTCCAGGAGCCACACAGTGGGAGGAGAGGACTACAAGTTGTTTTTTGGCCTCTATACATGTGCTGTGACATGGGCATACCCCAAAACACTGAAACCTAAAACGTTACTGCATAGGACTTATTTCTTGTCTTAAGAGTTTCTTTGCTGTGAAGAAACACCATGACCAAAACGCAAGTTGTGGAGCAAAGTGTTTATTTGGCTTACACTTCCATATCACTGTTCATCTTCAAAGGAAGACGGCAGGAACTCACACAGGGCAGGAACCCGGAGGCAGGAGCAGATGGAGAGGCCATGGAAGGGTGCTGCTTACTGCCTTGTTTCTCCTGGCTTGCTCAGCCTGCTTTCTTATATGAAGCCAGGACCACCAGCCCAGGAATGGCACCACCCACAATGGCAGCACTCTCCCCATTTAGTTACTAATTAAGAAAATGTCTTACAGCCAGATTTTATGGAAGCACTTCCTCAAGTGAGGTTCCCTCCTTTGAGATAACTCTAGCTTGTCAACTTGAGATCAAACTAGCCAACACAGCTCTTGAATAGAAAATTAATTTGCTATTACAGACATGGCATATGCTTCTCATCATCTAATAGTCTGCCACCAAATAAAGCACTGTTGTGTAATGGTATTTATTGGGAATAAATAATTTATCATCTAAATTTACACCTGCCAAAAAACTTTTATGTTAAAGAAAAACCAAAACAACAAGATAAACAATCTTGGTTGTTCCCTACAGAAATCAACTCATCTGAAGAAATAAGAATGTCAACCCCAACTTGCATCTTTCCCATAAACACTGTTTGGGCTAAAGGAGATTTGAAATAGCAAACACTAGGAAGTCATCTCTGTCCTTCTGTATATGGGTAGGTATAAATTGTCCTTCACTGGAGACAACTCTAGCATGAACCAAGAGACAGTACCTTATTCTGTACCTTTACATTCTCAGCTTCACATCTGTTGAAACTCAAAATGACTTTTTTTTTTTGTTCTTTGTAGGCTGAGGCAAGAGGATTGCTTCAAGTCTGAAGCCAGTCTAAGCTACATAGTAAAACCCTGTCTCTTTTTTTTAACTGTATTACTAATATCTTTAATCAGATGACAAATGAGTTAAATTGCATTCATTTCTGCATTTTTTATCAAGTTATATATAATAATATGCCTTTATTTAGTCTCATGAACTTTTTTATCTTTTTATGGTACTGGAAATTGAACCTCAGGAGGTCACCTGCTTGGCATTTGGCAGAGTTGTATCTCCTGCCTGCCACTTAAGATTACACTATATGAACTACTGTTTGCTCTCACTTTAGCTTTGTACACAATCAATGCAGTTAACAAGTCATAAAAACCATTTCATTTCTCATTAACCTTTTATTTTTAACTTAGTTTTACAATAAACAGAAAAGCTGATCATTAAAAAAATACCATAGCTGTCAGTTTTTAAAATGAGGTTCATCTTTTAAAGCCTTACCACGATAGCGTGTAATTTCATCCTTTATATACAAGAAGTGTGTGCAAAGTGCTTTCAAATTATAGAAAGTAATTCTGATACACAAGAGACAAGTGGTTGCCCTTAGGAGTTAGCTACACTTGACCACTTGCAATGAATCACAACTGGGTACATCTCTGATTTGCAGTTTATTTATACAAGAAAACAAGCCATCACTTTACCATACCAACTTCTTTTGTAATTTAAAACAAAAAACTCCACCAGTCTAAAGTTCTCTATAATAATTCAGTTATTTGCTTTTTTTTTTCTTCCTTTGAAAAAGTAGAAGATAGATTTCAGGGTTTTTTAATCAAAAGCAAAAGCCAGTAGATCATTTTTGAGAGATCAACCAAGTTGTGATATACAATTTTAAAATAAAGTTACAGTTTTAAAAAATTTGTTTATGCCAGGCAGTGGTGGCAAACGCCCTTAATCGTAGCACTTGGGAGGCAGAGGCAGGTAGATTTCTGAGTTTGAGGCCAGCCTGGTCTACAGAGTGAGTTCCAGGACAGCCAGAACTACACAGAGAAACCCTGTCTCAAAAAAACAAAACAAAAAAAAAAGTATAATGTCTAGGACAAGCAAATTATGTTCTCATATTTTTTTCAAAGAGTAACCCTACATTCTGGAGATGGATGCTTTCCTTCTTACCAAAAACATTCAGACCTAATGCTAATGCCCCCAACATCCTACATATCAAGAACAAATTACAATGTTTTACTGTCTGAAGCTGGCCATGGTGGTACATGCCTGTGGTCCCAGAAACTGAAAAGTAGAGACAGGAAAATTGGGTGTTCAAGGTCATCTTTAGCTACATAGAGAACTAGAGGGTAGCATGAGCTACCAAGCCTCTGTCTCAAAAGGAAAAGCAGAAAAGGATCTGCTATAAAGTTTTTAAATTAAATATTCAAAGCATAATAAAGTATATTACTGAGCACAAGTTTGGGAAAGTATGCAAGGAAGATTATTTTTCAAATACAGTCTTGCAGGATCTAAATTAATCTTCCTTTTGTTCTAATGGCTAGAAGTTTCCATTATTTAGGCATTCCTTAATTATGTGGACATAGAGACCTGTAGACTGAAAATACTGTACTTCTGATACCTTGTGAAGTATACCCCAAAGGAAAACTGAGGCACTAAGAGGTTAAGAATCCAGGCTGTCATTTACCCCTTGCAGGAAAAAAGGATTTTCATGCGTTTGTTAGCTTAGTAAAAAAGGTATAAATTAAGTTTTCATTTTATTGCAAAGCACCCTATGAAGCAGACAGTAGATATCCTCAATTAAAGAAAAATGGTTACAAAGGACTAAGTGTATATGGTTGAATTAAAATATGATAAACCATCTCTAAAGTTGGAATACACTTTCACACCTACATTAGGCCTATTCTTCATCATTTCCATCATCAAGTTAAGTCTGTTCAGTGAATCATTTGTAAATAGTAAGCACAATCCACGGACGATGATTCTCTGAGTTCCCCTGAGCAAACCAGGGAAATCAAGCCACTAAATAAAGCCCAGTCTTACGTGCAGACCACAAAGAATGGAGAGGATTCTTCCATCAGTTTTCTGCTACATAGCTGACAGTTCAGGGACTGATACAAAATTGATTTAACCTCATTTAAAAGCCACTCTTGTTTTTGCATTCTTTCTTGTGTTTAATTTAGAAAAGTAAAAAGTATAAATTTTATCTCATAATTGTAGCTATGCCTTAGAAATGCAGCTCATAATTCTTATGGGAGAAAATCAGGTGATAGTTACTAAACAATAATTAATAACTTCAAGTCCTTCAAGCTCAAAAAGAGTAAGTCTATGGATGCTACTTAAAACCTAGTTGAGATTGATTTTTCAAGTATCAGCAATATTAGTCTTTAAAATGTTACCATTTTGTAGTGCAAAGAATATTTATATAAACCAAACTACTGGACAAAAAAGAAATGTAATCATCAGACTGAGATTTTCTTGTGAACTCCACTTCATTTCCAATCCATCTCTTTCAGGCCCAGCAGTCTTCTTGAATAAAAGGCCATTTCTTCAATTTAGTTTTCTTTAAAAAGAAAGTAAAAACAAATTTCCTATAAGTATAAATGTAACCTGAATATGAAGCATATTCATACCAAAGAATTTTATGGACAATAACACAGCATTCATTTTCAAAATAAAACTATAAAACTACAAATAAAGACTATAAGGTTACTTCATGTGACTTAACTTGGTAACAAAGATGTAATTGCAGGTAGTCAAATTATCAAATGTATTTGTTCATTTACTGCTGGTGTAGGGCTAAGCCTGGGGCTTTTTACATGCTAAGTAAAGCTATAATGCCCTCAAAGCATTTTCTGATAAATTCAATTTATATCTTTCCTTTTACCTTCTAATTCTCATACTTTTCTAACTGGCTGATATATAGTTAATACTTAGGGGACTTAATTTTATGAAAATGAAAATATGAAAAAGTTTAAAAGCCCAGACATTTTCATGTACTGGATCAGTGATTCAGAGATTAAATAAAGCAGACTCCTAGCTCAATTCAGTGATTGCAGGGGGGGGGGGCATATACCTCAAAACATGGATATATAATGTGACAGTTTTATGAAGGTGGTCTTGCTAGTTCAGAGCACAACAGTCAATATATGATTTGTAAAAGACTACACTGCTGAAAAGAATGTATAGCAGATTCAGGATGCCAAGACACACGGAATTCTCACTGCAGATCTATTCCTCACCCTAGACACACTCCTATGCAGCTCACTGGCAAAATCATTTTTTTATATATTAGTTGTGTGTTAAAGGGGAGTGGGAGGGCTGGAGAGATGGCTTAGGTTAAGAGCACCAACTGCTCTTCCAGAGGTCCTGAGTTCAATTCCCAGCAACCACATGGTGGTTCACAACCATCTGTAATTGGATCTAATGCTCTCTTTTCTGGTGTGTCTGAAGGCCACTATAGTGTACTCACACATAAAATAAAAAAATTTTAAAAAGTGTGCCACCACCATAAGCTCCTATCAGAACCTTGAAGTGCTTTTAAAAATGGGGGGAGTCAGGAAGAGTAGGCATGTGCACATGATTTCATGTGTCTACGGAAGCTGGAAGAGGCATCAGATAAGTTTGGGAGAGTTGTGACACACCAACATGGGTACTGGGAATCAATCTATGGGTCCTCTAGTATAATGGTATGTGCTTTTAATAGCTGAACCATCTCTCCAAGGTGTAATATCTTAAACACTCATTCCTTAATTTCTGCAGAACAACTTTTCTATATATTTTCTTGGCATTTTAAATATTCAGGTTTTAAGCAACAGAGGTTCTCTGCATCAGGAACAAAATTCCCATGGAAGAAAATTGAAATGCCTAACAAAGACATGTGGATGATTCTTTAAAAACTGCTTGCAAAGGTGTAGCAGAAATGTTAGCTGTGAGTACAGGATACCCAAACAGTTCCCCATACTTATCAAGGACCACATGATGTAGACTGCTACACAGGTCCTTTGCAAAGCAGCAAACAATTTAGTCCCTGGACTCCCAGTCTTCCAAAGTGCAAATGAATATCAATCAAGAGCTTCAAAACTTCAGGGTGTTCTTCAAGTTTTTAATGGAGTCTGTTCAATAATATTTTTATTTTTCTAGCAGAGGCTAAGCAAGATCCCTAGGAACTGGGTTAAACAAGAAATCAATAGATGTTGCCCTATACATCACATGCAAGAAGTAACTGTGTGAGCAATCTTTACCTCTGAATTTTTACTCTCTACCAAAACAAGCAAAACAGCAAATCACAATACAAGACCTAGACACCTTTCTTTCACATACTCTTTTCCAAACTATAGTCACTATTTAACTATGAGATTAAAAATTACCAGATTAAGCCCCTGGTAAACCATAGGCCAGGCCTGTCAGAAAAAACATTCGGCTGCCCCACACACATACCCTCTCTCTGTTTCCCCAGACCATTATTTTAAAGGGGGTCATGGCATTAGGAGGATTAAGGACCATTATTTTAAAGGGGGTCAGTGAAGCTGGCTGGCCCCTGATCAGCCTCCTTACCACTGATATTGCAAGCATGTACCGCCATGCCCAGCTCTGTTCTGTAGGTACTGAAAATTGAACTGAGCTATCTCTATAGCCCTAACTGCTGTCTTTCTACCAAAGAAACATGAAAAGAAGTTTGGGGGAGCTAGAAGGTACATCTCAGTGGTAGACTGTTTGCCTACTATGAGGCCCTGGGTCTCAGCACCTAATATACCCCAAATAAAATTAAAAATGAAAAACAAAAAGTGGGGTTGAGCAGGGTATGGTGGTCCATGCCTTTAATCTCAACACTGAGGAAGCACAGGCAGGTGAATCTCTGTGAGTTCAAGGCTAGTCTATAAAGTGCATTACAAGACAGCCAGGGCTGTTACATGGAGAAACCCTATCTCAAAAAAAAAAAAAAAAGGTGGGGGGAAAAGGTAGAACTCACATCAAATGCATGAGTACTGCAGAAGTGATGTGTCTGTATCTTCAAAGAGCACACAAATGAAGAGAGTATAAAGGTACAGGTATTACCAAGACACTGACTACTGCTTCTGAAATTCTATTAAAGCTATTTCTAAATAAACAGCCGTTAAAAGCATGATATTTCCATTAGTCATAAAACTTAAAAAGCATATAGTCATTGTCATGTTACATAACTTATAGGTGTACAAATCCATCACATATTTGAGTGAAAAGTTGCTTATCTTTTACAAGTACCTAGAAATGTGCAGATGTCTTTTTCAAGGTAGCTTTGGGGTCAGGATCAGCAGATATTCACAATGACAATGCAACTATAAAATGAACCTATCTCTTTAATTACCACTGCAAATTATGTCTACTACAAGTCAAAAGACTGCATGTACTATCTCAAGAAAACTACAGTATTACCTTCTCCTTCTTTGATAATACAAATGCACCAACCACTGAGCAACAAATGGCCATATAATAGCAAACGCTAATGCACCAGGGGACATCTCAAAGGGCCACCAAGATGGTCTCTGAAAAAAATCAAATAAGCTTGTCATTTTTCTCTTAAATACCATATGGAGAAACTTGAAGACATTCTTAATACATAATTCAAAAAATAAAACTAATAACAAACCTCTACTCTGACAGATCATTCTATGCTCAGTAAGCAGACGTCTAAGACTTAAGTAAACACATCCAATTTTTTATTGTAGGAAATAAGTTTATTACAAAATAAAGTAAAACACTCTCAAAGAAAAAAAAAATGAGCAAAAGCCAAAAGGACCACATTCTAAATATATTTTTAGCTTCAATGCTCTAAAGGGTAGATTTCATATTTAATGACTTAAGTATCTCATAAAATATAAATGTCTTATAATTTATTTAAAACTCTTACCTGTGAGGAGGGTTGATTAGTTGTCTGCAATGATAATTTCGCCTTGAAATACAAACAAAAGGTAAAAGATTTGACAGAATGAAAAAAAAGTGTAATGTTGGGGTTTTTTTGTTTGTGTCTATTTTGAGAAAGGGTCTCTAACCGGCTGGTCCTACAACTCCCAGTATTACCCAATGTGAACTTCTAATCTTCCCTGCCTTCCTGTGCTGTTCACACACACACACACACACACACACACACACACACACACACACACGCACACTTTCTGCAGTATTGGTAATCAAACACCAGGGTTTCATGCATGCTAGGCAAGCAAGCACTCTACCAACTAAGCTACAGCCGTAGTCCGGTATAACATTTTTCTAGTTCCATTTTTTTTTTAATAAGAAAAAAATTGTTTTGTTGTTGTCTCATTTTGTGCTAAATTTTGATTACACTAAAACCTATACTGATCACAGTGGTGGGGGTGGGGAATGGGTGTACAACAGGGTAGCTCATGTCTGTAATCTCAGTATTAGGGAGGTGGAGGCAGGAAGGATCAGAAGCTCACAAGCAGTTACACTGGGAGTCGTAGGGCCAGTGTGGTCCCCAAACCTGTGAGGTACGCAATTAACTTATACTGTTTATATACTTTAAATTATATGAAATTTAAAAAAATAAAACCTCAAATCGATGTTCAAGACATAGTTCAACTGGTAAACTTCTTACTTAAAAATGTTCAAAGCACTTGTATTTAATCCCCTGAACCACATAAACCACATAAAAATAGTATAAGAAAAGTTCAACAACCTAGAATGTCTGTTTTTCTTGGGCTTTTGTAAGTGAATAGGTATGTCTTTTCTTTTTTATTTTTGTGGTCTAGAATTTGGGCCCAGGGCCTAGAACATGCTAGCAAAACACTATAAACCAAGCTACACCCTCAGTCTCTACTGTACTTTTTGTTATGCAGAGTTCAGTTTTCCCTTTTATTGAAAAGAGATTCTTTTCTAACACAATATCTTAATTACAATTTTCCCTCCCTCCACTCCTCCCAGCCCCTTTCCACCTCCCCTCCCTTCAGATCTACTCCCTTTCTGTTTCATTAGAAGAGAACAGGCTTCTAAGGGATAATAAGAAAATATAAGACAAAACAATTATAAGAGAGTTGCACAAGACAAAGAGAAGAAAAAGAGAAGGCAGAAGAATCCGAGTCCCACTCTGTAATTTTGCACTCTCAGGAATCTCAAGGGTTAATTTAACATCCTTGGATCTTACAGAGACAAAGTAGTAAAGATTAAAGATTATCACTCTACATTATCTCTGGTCTCTGGTTTTAAACTTTTTTATACTAAAACTAACTTACCCTAAATAATTGACAATTAATATCTTCCCTCTAGCTAGCACAATACAAATAGAAACCATTTACACAAAAAGGACATTTTTTGGTTTTTTTTGAGACAGAGTCTCTCTACACAGCCCTGACTGTCCAGGAACTGTCTATGAAAACCAGGCTGCCTCCCGTGCGCTGGGCCAGAATTAAAGGTATGTGCCACTATGCATGGCTAAGAATGACTCTTTAATGATAACTATCATATATTAGTAAAGATTTCATCATTAGTTCTTTAAACTGCAGTGTTTAGTGAAAATTTTTCTTCTAATAGCAAGCATCCAATCCGTAACTTAAATGTGCTGACTTTTTATTCCATTCAGTGCTGCAGATTGAACCCAGGGCCTGTTGAAAGCTAAGCCATCTAACTGTGTTCTCTAGCCCTCAGTCATGCTCAGCTTCCCACTCTATCGTTTTCTATTCATGGAAACAGCACTCGTCTTTTAGGCCAATATGTTCAAACCAGCTGATCTGATTGTTAACAATTTTTTTTTAATTTGTGTCAACTTGTGAAAATGTATATTTATGTAAATCTGAATGTAAAGATGTATTTACAAAAATCTCACAGAGTCAGATTTTACAAATGCTTCATAGAATCAAACCAGAAAATAACAGTAAGCTACACTCAGCGGCTTACCTGCGAAGCGCTTAGTGTTTCCAGTTTATGAAGTCTCTGAAGGACATTCTGCATGTCTTCCTGCAATCTAATGAGCACAAGAGCGATCTGCTCGTTGAGGCTGCCTCTGGCCCCTCGGTCTGAGCCCCAGCGTTCTCCATCACCGCCACTTCCGACTTGCCGACCCTTGGTTCCTTCACTCAAATGTGGCATTCTATGTCCTACTTTAAGAAAGTAAAGTAAGTTAGGTTTCTTTTTCAAATAGAAATAGTCTATTATTCACTTTCCTTGCTAATCCTTGTTATGTAAATAAATGTACAAAGTAAAAGAAAAGCAATAAAGTAGTACATAAAATAAACCACTGGCATTAAAGAAATCACTATATAAACTTCTATTCTCTATTAGGGGAATATTGTACATAATTTACTAATATATGACCATGTTTATACAATTCATAAGGAAGATACATGCTCAGAGTACATCTTAAAAAAAAAAAAAAAAAACTCTTTATCGCTGGAGAGATGGCTCAGCAGTTAAGAACACTTGCTACTCTTGCAGAGGACCTGGGTTTAGTTCCCAGCACCTGCATGGTAGCGTAAAACCATTTGTAATTCCAGTTCCAGAGAATCTGACACTGTCTTCTGAACTCTGTGGGAACCAGGCATGCACATGGTGCACTATACATACAGGCAAAATATTCACACATACCAAATAAATCCTTTTGTTTTCAAATGTAAATGCTCATTACTGCAATTAAAACAGATTTAAACTAAAAACGCCTTAACTGTTGTTTTAAAGTATTAAAAGTATTTAAATAACAAAATTTTTCTTCTTGGCTTCAATATATTGTAAGCGCACAAAGGGGTTTGTTTTCTAATTATAAACTGCATACTCCTTATACGTATTAAAATATCTACTAAGATTGTTCTATATTACCGCTTATCTTTTCATATGCACGGATTTAAAATTTGGCTTTTTCCCTCATGATTGTGTACTATTTAAATCATTTATCTCCATCATTGACTCTTACTCCAAAAACACCCAATATAAACAATGAAGTAACTGACCTAACCATTCTGCACAACTGACTAAAGAGTATAAATTTTTGCTAATACAAAACCAGGTACAGTGAGTGGCACATGCTTGTGATCCTAGCACTTGGGAGATAGATGCAGGATGAGAAGTTCAAGGTCATCCTGGGCTGCATAAAGAGGTCAAGGCTAGCCTAGGATACATGAGACAATGGGGGGTGTGGGGAGGGGGGAATAACAATTATTTTAAAACTGGGTATGGTAGTACACTCCTTTAATCCCAATGCTTGGGAGTCAAAGGCAGGCAGATCTCTGAGTTCAAGGCCAGTTTAGTCTATGTAGAGGTCAAGGATAGCAGTGCTGAAGAGCTAGCTCAGCATTTAAAAGTCCTGCTTCCTCTTTCAGAGGTCCTAATATCACTTCCCAGCAACATCTTCTGGCATGTGCGTGTAGATGCGGATAGAGCACTCATACACATAAAATAAATCTTAAAAAAAAGAGAAAAAAACAAAAAACCCTTAAAATTATTTTAAGTGTGTGTGTGTGTGTGTGTGTGTGTGTAACTATGGATGTGATATGTGTGTGCCACTGCACATGTGAAAATTCTAGAACAACCATCAGAAATCATTTCTTCCCTCCACTGTGGGTACCAGGGACTGAACCATCAGGTGTATGTAGCAAGCAATTTTACCATCTCTCAGCTTCAAAACCAAATTTTTGCTAATACAAATAAATGTTGCAATGAATGTCTTTCTGCACTAATCCATCTCTAAATTTTTGTTGACTCCTATGTTAGTTACTTTTCTGGCTGATGAACAAAGTACCTAATCAAAGCAACTTAAGAAAGGAAAGTTTCAGCAAAGCAGTAATGGCGTGAGCCTTTAATCCCAGCATTTGGGAGGCAGAGGCAGGCAGATCTCTGTGAGTTTGAGGACAGCCTGGTCTACAGAGTTGAGTTCCAGGACAGCCAAGAAAGGCCCTGTCTGAAAAAAAAAATTAAAGTCTATTCACCTGAGAGTAAAAGTTCGATTTAAAAAAAAAGAAAAAAAAGAAAAAGAAAAAAGAAAGTGAGTGATTGGCACTGATAGGAGTCACATGGCTCTAGCTAGGGAACTGTGAAGAGACTGCTGGCAGGCAGGTCCTCTGCTGAGAGAAATTGTAGGCTGCTCTGAGCCAAGAGAGCCAAATAAATAAGCCTCCGTTGTGGAGCAGTTACTGATTTAAGTATAAAGTTAAAATATAGGGATTATTTGCTTATAGGAAAGATTTATAAACAGATTTGTCCAAATCACATGGGGATTATCACCCGCTGTTTGGAACTTAGATAGGGAAACTTGTCACTGGCTCTAGAGTAGAGAGCACAGTGTACAAGTGGAAGCTGCTCTGGAGTACAGAGCCAAACAGATAGATGGTATAAATAGAAAACTGTTCTAGGCAAAGGGCCAAATGGAAAGATAGTGTAAATCAGATGTATTCAGAGTTATATTGCCTCACAGGAGACTCGAGTTCTGACTAACGTGGGCCCCACGGGAATTCTGGGTTCTTTTCCTACTTGGCAAAATAGGGAAGGCCTAAAGAATAGGCACATACAGTATTTTAGTTATTAAGTTGATTTTATTTTCAAGATGGGTGTAATTGTCAGTTTTGTGGTTATATTTTTCCTCTGGGGAAGAGGTCAAGATAAAGGTTTTTCTGGTCACTGGCTCAAGGAAATTCTGTTTTGGGAAAAACCTTTTGTCTGTGTGTTTTCAGAAGAGATGATTAAGATATTTCTACCTCCCAGGATTATACAGATTAGACATGACAGAGACAGGCCACCAGACTACTAGATTCCAGAATTCAAACAAAAAATTATCTTGATACTAAAATTTGTTTTAAGAATTGTATATTGCAGAATACACAGCCTTGGTGTATCTACTAATCAAGCAAGCTGAGCAGACCTGCTCGAACCTCTGATGTCCTGGAGTCTCAGCTGGATGCAGTAAAGACACAGACATCAGAGGCTTATCATTTACCACCCCCCACCCCTCTTCTAATATTTCAACACCCGTAACCAGCTTGAAGAAGTTAATGAAGAGTCGGCGCCCCTATTCCCTGGGCTTGGGGACTGAGGTGGTTAATATTGGGCTGTCTTTCTAGGGAAAAGTAGTAGTTTTGTAGGAACAGGGAGGAATAGCTAGGATTTATTGCATAACCATAACCTATTGGTAGAAATATGTATAATTGTTATTAAGCTGAAGTTATAATTTCTTAAATGGTACAAAATTTACTTTGATTTCAAATTTAAGGTTTTCATTGGTATGAGTTTCTTATTGATATAAAGGTGAGATTAATATTGTTACTCTCATAGACATTGTGCCTATATAACACATTTAGGAATACAAGGCTTAGACCCAGTCCTTTTTTTAACTGATTTGAGATGGTTAGCGTGTGAGTTAAGGACCTATAGCAAATTCATGGCTCTGAGTTTATTGTTAGGGTGTTTTCTATATTTTAATTAGAACTAGCTGAGAGGAGTTAAAGAACAACAGTCCAGATTGCCTTACATGGATAGTTGGCTTTCAAAATGTCAGAAGTCCACATAATTGACGTTACAAACATGTCTGTATTAAGGTTCATTTTGATTAGAGACCTGTCTGCTCCTGACAGCTTTCCTGTCTTGGATTCTAAGAAGAAATTGAGCATCTTTGGAGTTACTCCAGTTGTGGTGAGACAGCCACTAGGTAAGAATGGCCTCTTTTCATCTATAGACAAATTACTGTCCAGAAAAGGACACACTTTCAGAATAGTCGACTGATTATATCTGCCAAGACAGAGTGATCAGCCCTTAAAAATTCTGCATTACTAGGTCTGTCAGATGATCCTGGGCCAGAAGGCTGAAGACCAGATGCTTCAAGGTTTTGAAGTAAGGGGCTGTCCAGGTAATCAGCGGTCTCTATAAATTGGCTAAGTTTTAGAAGCTATGCTTTGTGTTTCCCATAATTTCAGTTAATTCAGTCATTCTAGATTTCTGATGGGGTTGAAGACTTACAGTCTGATAGCCAACCCAGGCTATTTACTTTGAGAGAACAGATCTGAGAGGATGGTTTTCAGCTGACATTCATTCTAAAGCCAAGAAAAAGGCCAGGTTCAGAACTAAGTCTTTTAGTTAGGAGAGATGCCAGAGGTTCTGTTTAGTCAACAAAATGATGGACTGTGTATTAGGTCTACCTTGTACCTTACTGATACAAATTGGTATAGTTATGCTTTAATTGTATTTTGAGAGAAAGGTGTTTTTTTTTTATTTTAACAGGAAGGGTGATATGTAAGAGGAGCTAAGGTGGGAGGAGTAAGGAGAGGAAGAGGAAAAGGAAGAGGAGAAGCTAGGAGAGAGACAGAGAGGGGGGAGAGAGAGAGAGAGAGAGAGAGAGAGAGAGAGAGAGAGAGGGAGGGAGGGAGGAGATGGAGGCAGATGTTCACGTGTCTGTAGCAGTTAAAGGTAGTTGGTATATCTAGGTGGGTATTGGGTTACACTTCTGATTGTATGAGTATCTTGTTACTGATCATTACCAAATATATAAGCCTTTGATTAAAAAAAGAAGAAGAAGGAAAGAAGGGAAAGAGAAAGGAAGGAAGGGAAGGAGGGAGGGAGGGAGGGAGGGAGGTTGGTTTGTTTGTTTTATCTGGGCCTGCAGTCAAGTGGAAGTCCACCATGGCAGGACTGGCATAGCCGCAGGAGCATGGGGCACAATTAATCTGAAGTTAGGAAGCAGAGTACGATCGATGAATACCAGTGCTCTTCTCAGTTCCTCTTTTTTACTGAAAGTTCTTCTAGATAAATTAACCTACTAGACATGCCTCATAAGCCTGGCTTGACTCCTAGGTGACTCTAAATCCTATCAGGTAGACAACCAATTATTAACCATCAACCACCTTTAGTACCGATTTACAGATTGTAATAGAATACTATTGAAGGAAAAGATTTCAAATTTGTCAAGGTTCTTAGTATTGCCAAATTATTTTTCAGAAGGCTAATGAAAGGTTTGTGTTGTTCCTCTTGTCCTTTATGTGTTCTTTCTTCCTCTCTCTCCCTCACTTGCTCTCTCTCTCCCCCTCTCCCTCCCCCACCCGTGTGTGTGTGTGTGTGTGTGTGTGTGTGTGTGTGTGTGCTTTCCTGGGGCTTGAGTCCTCACATTCAAGAGACAAGCACTCTTATCACTGAACTACACATCCCCAGCAGAACTAACAGTTTTTATTACTGTATACTCTTGCAGAATTAGAGTGTTACAGATCTTTCCTCAAAATAGAAGCTAAGGGTATTTCCTTCTTGCCTTTCCCCACACCCTCTTATTCAAAGGTATAAAAATCAAGTGTGAAAGCACACCCCAATCAATTTGAGCTCTGGACACAATTCTATTTATAATCCAAGTAAAGGGCTAGGCCTACGTAAAGTCAGTGAACTGAGTAATGGAAATCCCTGATTTCCTCTCTACTTCTATGCATTTGTGTACAGAAGTTTGCCCTGAATACACAGACTCTACATATAGTCCTTCAACATTGCAGCAGTACAAAAGAATACCCATACAGCCGTGTGGTTTTCACCTGGAGTATGGTATGTTATTGTAAGATTTGTCTGTCTGTCTGTCTGTCTCTGTGTCTCTGTCTCTGTGTGTGTGTGTGTGTGTGTGTGCGTGTGTGTGTGTGAGAGAGAGAGAGAGAGAGAGAGAGAGAGAGAGAGAGAGAGAGAATGTTTATGTTTGTGCAGATATCTACAGAGCCAGAAAAGAGTGCTTAATTTCCAGAACAGGAGTTACAAGCAGTTCTAAACCCTCTATACTGGTGTTGGGAACTGAACCCAGGTCATTTGAAAGAACAACAAATACTCTTCATCCCCATGCCATCTCTCAGCCCCTGAAGTACAGGATATTTTTAAACAGCCTTTGTGTTAGATGACTTTGCCCAAGAGCAGGCTGACACAGTGTTTTGAGTATACTGAAGGCAGGCTATATAAATATTTAGCTTATAATACAATTTATAAGGGATGTATTGGGCCATAACCCTGTTATCCATACTTTGTTCAAATGCTTATTTCTCAATCCTTCTTTTTCCCTTTCCTTTCTCCATCTATGGCGAGGATGGAACTCAGGCTATGACTGAGCTATACCTCTTGTTCTACACTACAATTCTATATATTTATGCTCTCTCTCTCTCTCTCTCTCTCTCTCTCTCTCTCTCTCTCTCTCTCTC